ATTATTATTATTATAATGCTTATAAGTATTAAAATAAATATATTAAATAATAAATATTTTTATAAGCTTATAAAGCTTAAAATGCTTTATAAATCTTATAAAACTCTTATTTTTATAAAGCTAATAAGCATTAAAATAAATATATTAAATAATTATTATTTTTATAAGGCTTATAAGGGCTAAAAATGCCTTATAACCCTTAAATAATAATTATTTTTATAAGGCTTATAATGGTTAAAATCAGCATAATAATATATATTTTAAAAAATATAAAGAATTATATAAAATTATTAAGAAGAATTTAATAATAATTTTATTTCTTAATATAAATATTAATATTTTATATATAAAAAATCTATTATTATTTTAAAATTACTTTTTTAATAAGTTTATATTTATTATTTAAAGTAAATTTAACTTATATTAAAATATTTATTTTTTTAAAGAGATAAGCTATTTTATAAGTATTATATATATAAAATAAAGGAAAAGGGTAATTAATTAATATATTTTTTATATGGCTAGCATTAAAACTTATTAAGAAACTAGTTAATTTATATAGGTGGTAACGCTAAGAGTAAGGGGGGCAAGGGGGGGTGTTAAAATTTCGTTTATTAAAATTACGTAATGTATTATTAAAGCCCTATATCTTTTACTTAGCTAACTTTGCTAATTCTATTTTAAATAAGTAATTATTATATTAATATAATTAATATTCTTATATAAATATTATTTAAAAATTAATTTCTACTTAATAATATTTAAATAAAAACTTAAAAAGTATATTATTATAAAGCCCCTTTTTGCTTTATTTATTACTATATAATTTAATATATAAATAAGTTATATAAATTTTTAACTTTAATTTTAAAATATTAAGATTCTAAACTTATATTACTTAATTATTAAATTATTATTCTTTTATAACTTATATAATATTAAATAAAGCAAAAAAGGGCTTTATAATAATAACGTGGTTTACTAGGAAGTGGTGGATATTAGGAAGTGGCGGATTTTTGCAACTTTAGCCAACTTTAGCTAGCCATAGCACCCACTTAATGTAAAAAGATTTATAAGATTTGGCATTAATTGGTGCTAATTGCAATTAAACCCTTATTTTTAATTAATTTTATTAATTTAAAGGTATTGGCATGGTTATAGTGCTAGTTTAAACTGGTTAACTTTTAATAAGAAATATATATTTAGCATTATTTAATGCTAACTATACCCTTAAAAAGTTAGTTCGCTATAAATTATTAATACTTATATATTTATATTAATTAATGCTAATTAAGCTAAATTTACTATAATATAGTTAAAATTTAATTAAATAAACCCTTCTTTATTTTTTTTATAAGTTCTTATATTATGCTTAGTTTTATTATAATTGCCATACTATCTTTTAATTAATTTATTATAAATTAACTCTTTAGCATTATTATTAATTTTATTAGCTAGCCGCTTCCCCTTTTATTTTTTTTAAATAAAAGCATGGAATTCTTTAATAGTAAGTGCTTTTTTAAGCTGCATTTAGGTTTTTTTAGCCCTTTAGCATTTTATAAGCGCTATATTAACTTCTTAAAATATATAAATTTACTTGCTTATTATAATAAATAAGTATATTATTACTTATATACTTTTTATTAATTAATTAATAATATTTATAATTAATATAAAGGAGCTTTCTTAATGGGCAGAAATCTTACCCTTAATAAAACTTAATTGCTAAATAATTTATTAAGCATTTAATGGTATTTAAGACTTTTATTTTTAGGGGGAAATAGGAAGGGATTATATAGGAGTTTATAAGTAAATATTAAGCTTAAAAATTATAAAATTAAGGTTTTAAGGAGAAATTCCAGCTTTTTTAAATGCAAACTTAATGTTTTTTATTATAAAAGTCTTATTATAAGCTGCCTTAAATATAAAAAAGAACTTAAACTTAGTAATATAGTTAATAAAGGCTTAAATAAAAAGGTTAATTTAGTTACTATATATATACTTTAAAGATAAATATAATGTAATATTTAATAGCTAAAGTAAGTAAAATAAATATAGTAATATATTAATAATAATAATTTTATTATCTTTATAATATTAATTAAACTTAGCTAATATATAGCTTTTATAATTATTTATAATTAATATTTAATAATTAGCATTTCTCTTTAATTTAATATGCTTATTAAAGTGTTAAATTTATTTTAAATTAATTTTATTATTTATTTATTTATTAAAAGTAAGCTTAATAACCTAATTATTTAAAAAATCCAACTTTATTACTTAGCTAGCAAGGTAATAAGCGCCTTAAATAATTATAAATAATAGAATTTATAACCTGCTTATATTAATGCATTTAATAATAGTTATTTATTTTTAATTACTAAGCTAAATTAATTTAGCCTTTTTATATTTATTAATATATATAATAATTATTAATGTAATAATTATACTTATTATAAAGCTAGTTTTATTAAAATTATAAAGATTATTATTAATAATTTAATATTTAGTCATTATATTATAAAATAATTTAAATTAATTTTTAATAATTTTTAAATCTTTATAAAGGGCCCTTTAATAATTATAAAGATAATTAAACTTAGTCTTAAGGCTAGGTTATTAATTTATAAAGCATTAAGCTTAGTACTTACTAATAAGTTTAGCATTTTGCAATGCTAATAAAAGGTTGGCTATATTCTTTATATTAAAAAGTTATAAAGAAAATCCTTAAATATCTTAATTAATAATATATTAAATAAGCATTTACTCTTTAATTTAATTAAGTTTATGCTTATTAATATATAATTCTTTATATAAATATTATTAATTTATTTTATAATATAATATAATTTTAAGGATATTAAAGATATTAATAGCTTAAGTTATAAGCATAAGTTTTGCGTTATTTTTCTTTAAGTTTTTAATTACTTATATAGCTAAAAGGATTTTATCTTCTTTAAATAAAGGATATATTAATAGTTATTAATTTTTAATATATTAAATATTTAATTAAGCGGATTAAAGCAAGATTAATGCAAAAAACTAAGATGCAATTTATATTAAAATAAATCCCCCTTATTAAAAGTTAATTATTTTAAACTTAAATACAATTATACTAATCCCTTTAAATTAATTAAATTAATTAAAAATAAGGTTATTAAAATAGTTGGCATTAATTAGTGCTAAATTTAATTAAATTGTTTGCATTAAGTAAGTGCTATGGCTAGCTAAAGTTGGCTAAAGTTGCAAAAATCCGCTACTTCCTAATATCCGCCACTTCCTAGTAAACCACGTTATACTTTTTATAAATTAATAAAAGTTTATTAAAGAAATATTTATTTAAATACTCTTTATATATTTATTTAAATATAAAATGTATTTTTTATATTAAGTATTAAAAAAGAAGAATTATTCCCTTATTATATAAGTTAAAATAAATAAATTATAAAGTATTATACCCCTTAATAATATTTTATTTTAATATATTTTAACTTATTTTTATAAAATAATTTAACGCTATTAACTATTAAACCATAGCGGAGGTTTAGATTAATATATTATTAAAAAAAATAAAACTTATATAATTTAAAATAATATATTAAAAAACTTATTTATTTATTTCTTTAACTAATTTAATTATATTAAAGTTTATTAATAATTATATCTTTTTAAGAGAATTATATATATTAAAGATATATATTATTATAAAGCTAAGATCTTACTTAATAAGCTTATATAAAATAAATATATATATTTTACTTATATAATTAATATTTATATAAATTAAAATATATTAAATGCTAAGGTTTTAAGTTTAATTCCTAATAGTATTATATAGTCTTAGGCGCCTTGCAACCTTTTATTTTATTTTTTAACATTTATTTATTTATTTATTTACTTATTTATTTACTTATTTACTTATTTACTTATTTACTTATTTACTTATTTACTTATTTACTTATTTACTTATTTACTTATTTACTTATTTACTTATTTACTTATTTACTTATTTACTTATTTACTTATTTACTTATTTACTTATTTACTTATTTACTTATTTACTTATTTACTTATTTACTTACTTTACTTACTTACTTATTTATTTATTTATTTATTATTTATTAATATTAATTAACTAAATTCTTAACTCTACGTCTTAATATTAATTATAATAAATAAAGTTTTTTTTATTTTTATTTTTTATTTTTTTTTAGTTAATTTAGTTTTAATTAATTTTAAAAACTAAAACTAATTTTAATTCTTAGTTAATATTATTAACTAAGACTAAATTAACTAACTAAAAAAACTAACTAAATTAACTAAAACTAAGAAACTTTTTTACAACCCTGACTGAAGTTATCGGATGCAAGAATACGCGGATCCTGCGTGCACAGCGTCAAAAAATTGTATCAGGACGTGTGACACAAAGTCTCGGCAACTTCAGCGCGGACAAGACGGGGTTGCAATTTGTTGTGCTCTCATGTCGCTTTTGTGCATCTCGGTGAATGGGTACTGCAATTAGGTGTGATCAGCCATTTATGATGCTGATGGAGCGTCCCCAGGCTCAGAATCAGAGAAATGATGCAATGCATTGAGGTTGCGATCATCGTCGCCGCACAACTTTGGATAAGAAATATGCTACGTTTAATTGCATGTCGCATACATCACATGTCGAAGATCAAGAATTGCACTAATCACCAACGCGCTCCATGTACCTAGGCATGCTACGACATAGCCGTTGCTCACGTTGCATGCATGTCCAAAACTGGTTGGTGTCACTATCTTTGCCAAGACTCGCCCCCCCGTGGTTGGTGTTACAGAGCCCCCATGGAGCGATGAGCAACAATACCACTCGGATATTCAGCTTTGCCTTCCATCAGTACACGTACATTTCTCATTTGTCTTCATTCAAGAACTATACTGACATTGCATTCTAAGCGAGAACCTACCACCTACCCTATCGTCCCGAATAGAAACCTCCTGTTGATCATCTCATCATGGTCTCAGAGAAAGCAAAGGCCGGCCCCGTCTCATTCGCAGCCGCGACACAAGTCGAGAGACTAGACTCGCACACGTACAAGGTCAACCTCGATGATGCATTCTGCGTCGGCAACGGTAATAAGCGCACCACCACACTCCGTCCCCACAACGGGAAAAGAACCATCCAGCTGATAATCCCTCCCAGTCCCCAACGGCGGCTACACGGCCTCATGCATGCTCGCCGCCGCCCGCGAGCACCTCGCCCCGCGCGACCAGCCCGACACGCTGACCGCGCACTTCGAGTACCCGAGCCGCACGCAGCCCGGGCCCGCGGTCGTCAAAGTCGAGGACGTCAAGATCGCCGGCCAGCTGTCCACGCTGCACCTGACGCTCTGGCAGGGCGGGCTCGTCGGCAAGGCGCCCTGGATCACCACGGGCGGTGGCGCCGGTGCCTCGCGCCGCATCATCCTCGCCTACAGCACCCACACGAACCTGCGCACCTTCACGGGCATCTCGCTGCCGACGGGCTTCGAGACGACCGCCGCGGCGGAGCTGCCGCCCGTGCCGGACTTTGAGGCCCTCGGCAAGGCGGGCGGCGGCCAGGGCGGGGATGGCAAGTGGGAGGAGTCCGACCCGCCCGCGGCGATGCGCCGCGCCGCGCGCTCGCTGCAGAACTGGAAGTTTTATATCCCGCGGGAGGGACCGCTGGCCCCTGGCGTGCTGGACATGTGGGCGCGCCTGTCGAGCGGGGAGCGCATCGCGCAGGGCGCGCTGGCGTATCTCGTGGACTCGTACCCGGTAAGTACACAGCTTTCGCTAAGGTGCTTCTGATTCGAAGGCGCATGCCCCATGGCGCGTAGATTCATCACCTGCGGCCTGTCGGCTAACTTGGGACACTTCAGTACAACCTACACGAGTTCCTGGCCGCGCCTGAGCTGCGAGAGCTGCTCCAGGCGTCCCGTAAGGGCGAGGCGGCCGGTGACACCCCCGAGGGGAGGGATCTCAAGGCCAAGGACGAGAACCGCGCCGGCATGTGGTTCCCGACGGTGGTTATGAACCTGGAGGTGAAGAAGGCGCTGCCGGAGGAAGGGGTCGAGTGGCTGGCTGTGCGCGTGACGTCGAAGCAGATCAAGGACGGGAAGTTTGATCTTGATGTCTCGGTGAGGGATGTGGATGGTGAGCTGGTGGCGCTGAGCCACCATGTTGCGATGATTTTGAGCATTGAGAGGAACACGAGGAAATCGAAGTCTTCGCTGTAGGTGGCGTTGATTATAGCCGCATAGGTCGGAGCGAGACATACCGAAGAGCGCATACGTGTGGAAACAATTTGGTCATGGACTGAAACACTACATCAGGCATTTTTGAGCAGTCGCGGACCTTTACCAAGAGTTTCAGAGGCTTAATGGAATCCAGTAGAATCCCTTTTCCTCTCTTGGTGATGATTGTACCACGAGCCGCATGACCACACTTATGCCGGCTCTACTCGAGCTGAGGCAAAGCCCACTTGACCATCCACTCGGACTCGAGAACCTTTTCTATCGTCAGACGCTCCTCGGGCCGGAATCTAAGCATGCTGCGCATCAGTGCGAGAATGGCACTCGTCTCTTGCTCCTCAAAAATCCCAGCTGCCTCTCGTTTCCTCCTGTACTTCTGCACAAATTCTTCGAAGGCGTCCTCGAGATTGGGCCAGGTCTCCCGTTCACCGGTTGGCCGACGAGGGATTGTGGTGTTGCTACCCAACTTTTCCTCCTCGCCAAGTCGTTCCCACTGTTTTCTCCAGCTCTCGGGGAAGTTTGATGTACCCAGGACATCAATCTGCTGAGCCACAATCTCGTCCTGTGTTTCTGACTTGCTGAAGATGAATTTCATCCCTAATATCTCCCAGATGGCGGTTCCAAGGCTCCATATGTCTGAAGGGTAGGATAGATAGTTTTCAGGTTCGAAGAGCGTCTCAGGTGCTCTCTTGGCCAGGGGAGTATTGCAATCTCTCCCGAGGCGCTGCTCCGTAGCTGGTGAAAATGCCTCGCCAAAGTCGCTGAGAATGAGGCCGTGCGCGTCGACCAAGGAAAACTCTTGCGCCTTTTTGCCGAGATAAAGCGGCACTACAGCATGCGACGGGATGTTTGTAGTCAGGGGCTTGTCATCGACCCGGGAAATGGGAACTGTCTCAGGCTCGCCAAATTTCTTCCTGAAGTCCGGGATTGAAAGCTCGTCGAATGTTGATGGAAGTTTGACCAACACGTTCCGAAGATGAATGTCTGTATTGGTCCGTTAGTATTGGGTACAGCAATTAGGCGGGAATGTAGTGAGGCAGACCTCCATGCACAAAGCCCCGGGAGTGGACGAACGCAACCGCGGTGGCTAGCTTCGCAGCTAGAGCGCGGGCGACTTGAACGGGAAAGAGGCGACTGAATGATGCTTCCTTCAGGTTTCCTTGAGCGGGCGTCACCGTGTAGCATGGGTGTGTTCCGTTGGGTCCCCGAAAATCGAACGCATCGAGAATTGTCGGCACTGCGGCGGCTTGTGAGGTCGGGCCTGAGCCATTTAGCGCCTTTAGTACTTCTAGCTCTCTTCGAGGGAGTGAAGGGCTCGATATCCCAATCTTCACCGCGACATAGCGATTGTCTATCTCGTCTCGAGCAAGCCAGATTGTTGAGTAACCCCCAAACCCAAGCTTGTCCACTATTCGATAGCGATTGTGCAGGAGGTCGTTGATTACGACAGGGTGGTACCCGCCAGGCTCGTACAACTCCAGACGCTCTACTCCATCGATCCAACGATACTCGATTGACGAGTTTGGTGACAAAGTCGAGAAATAGGGATGAGAGCAACATTCATAGGTCACGCGTCGTGCGGCTGAATGGGCAAGGGGAAGTCCGGATTTGAAGTTTGTTAACTCGGAACCTCTGAAATTCACAGGAACGTTGCCACGGAATTTGGAATAGCAAAAAGCCAGTGACTTTCTTAAATGGAGCATGGTCGAGGCCAAGTTGCGCTGAGGGAACTAATGGAGATGTGGTTTGTTCATCGTCGGCTTGACGTGACAAAATTACGAGCCCTTGCTCCACTAGCATGCTTAAGTAAGCATCCGAGCCCTCCAGTCCCATAAGGTTCCCAGAACAGACCGTGACCTGGGCATATCCCAACCTCCCCGGGATATCTTGGCCGAATGGACTGATTGATAACTGAATTTTGTAATAGAGCTAATATTCACAGTTACAAAAAAGAATTCAACAGAAAGATACGGAATACCCAAGTGGCTGGTAGGAGCTTTCAGTCTTTCAATACAGCCAACAAGTTTATTGGAAGACTGGCCTTGCCACGCCATATTATTCATATGTGTGTCTCTTTAACTGAGACCAGATCATCCACGAGGTCGTACAAGATGGTCGAAAATCTAGATAACCGCAAGACTATTGACATGCCATGTTCCTAATCGCTGGATTGTTTCAAGCCCAGATACAGCCACTCAGACTCTGACAAACTCCCACAGTGTGGTTCCATGCCGTCGCCTGACCAAGGTGCTTCCGTCCTCATCAACACACAGGACCATCAGGGTATGGGAGTAGTACGGTGACAAGAGCTCGTAGCCTCCCTCGGGATGCTGCCTCGGCGTCCACAGCTCCCAGCCCTTCAGGTGAGAAACCAACGTGCGGATGCCGGTCTTGCCATCGTGACCAAGGTACCTCCCGGTCTGGGGATTCTGGAAGCCAAAATAGCCATCCTGTTTGACGCACAGCCAGTGGGTATCCACATTGCTGGCCTCGCGGAGGCTCTGCAGCTTAGGTTGATCTCCGACGAGCGTGATGGCTCTGCCGCTTTGCTTCTCGATGATTTGGAAGGTATTTTCGGCCCAGGGGATGGCGCCGCGGCTGCTCCAGAGGGAGTCTGGAGCTTCGATGGTGGTCGGAGGCGTGTGTTCCCGGAAGGGGGTGGTTGACGCGTCTGTCATCGTCTCGAATTCGGTGTTTTCTTGCTTCATGCTAGTGGCCATGGTGGTCTGAAATCAGCGAGCGATTTGCGTCAGTAATTCAAACTTCAGTTGTCCAGAACCAAAATGAAAGTAACGGGCTGAAGACAGATGGATATTACCATGTGTTTTGCCAGATTTTAACCTCGATGCGAAGGATAAGGGTGATAGCATTTGTGAGTGTGTGATTCCAGTCTGTTCATGTGGAGAGTTCAAATGCTGTTTTTACCTGAACACGAAATCTTCGGCCTTGCTTTGACCGGTTTCCTCGGGGCGGTGGGCCCCCCAAAAGAAGTACTCATTCCTGTTGCGGCTAATGCAGGAGGCCTACCACTTCAGGTATTATGCCCAATCTTCCCTTCGCTCGCACGTCCAAACCAATTTCCCGTGTCACTGAAACAATGCATGAAGGTTATACTTTTGCCAGCACCTGCATTTTTTGCTACCAACCCGTGGATTGTCTCACCACCGTCCACAGACGAGCTGTTGAACAGTAATACCGAGTGAAACAGTAATGGGTGTTTTCTATCAGTCACGGAGTATGCTGGTTTGACTCCCACAATGGAGTTCAGCGACAGGCTGTAAAGTGGGTTTAGCTAACGTGAACAAGTAGATAAAGGCTGCAGCTTATGGCATGCTTTGTTAGAAAGCCCTTGGCATGTTACTCTGAAGGATTCCTCGGTAGGCAGTCGTTCCACTCCGTCTCCACACCGCACTACATCTTACGTCTGCAGCCTGGGGCCGCGCGGGTGTTCATGCGGAAGTCCACCCGAGCTGGCAGTTGGGGCCATTGGCTGGCTTCTTACTTGCCGGCGGGCGCAAGTGCACATCAATCGCCACCTGTTCCGTGCCTTCGAGGCTTTAGGGTGGCTTGGCCTGCGCTGACACTGACCCTGCTAGGTACGACGAGGGGATCGCAATCCTCTACGGTAGCAACACCTTCCACATCCGCACCACCAGCATGCGCATGCTCGGAAGTCTCGTACCGCAAACCTCCGCGACTATCCTCTCACATATCACCTCTGTGGAGTGCGTCATGGATTATCTGTTCATAGGCTACAAGGACTACTTAGCCTTGAAACCGGAGGAAAGGTCTGACGAACACATGTTGGGTCGTACGGCGTCCTGTGTCCCCCGCCTCATGCCGAGCCTGCAGAAGTTGTACGTCGGATTTTGGCCCCGCACGTGTCTTCTGGATGGCTGTCAACACGGAGACCTCCTCGAGTACAAGTGCACAGAGCACCTTGCGAGTCTGTGGGAGGCCGTGGCCTCCGAGCTCGGGCAGACGGGACGGTCCTGCGACCTCGGGCTGGCGCTCCCCTCGACGCCGTTCGAGCATTATCAGCATGACGCCATCATGCAAGGCCGCAAGATGGGGCTTCCGGACTGGAGCCCGGAAATGCCAGCCAAGTTCTCCTACCACCCGAGACTCCGTCTTTTTCAGCCTGCTCGTAGCCGGGGGACCAGAGTCAGAGTCGGGAACTGATGAGGGAGGAGGTTCTGAGGTTGGATACTGGATCAGCCTGACCCTGTGGGACGGTCTGAGGGCCGGGAACTCCATGGTCATTCGTTGTTTTGGATCATGAAGAATGCTATATTAATCTGATAAGTGATACTTATTTGAAGGTGTAGACTCATGTCACCCAAATGGGGGGAAAGAAAACATGATCTCCTGTTCTCCTCACAAGTTACGCGCACTGGGAGCTTACATTTGCACACCTATTCCCTGTGGACTCTTTATATTCACGAATGGCGGCTATGTGGTCATGTTGGCTGATGCCAATTCAATGCACCAAGAGCGGGCGTTGCAGGGTTGAGATCTCTAGAAGCTGTAATGCGTTTGCCACTTGACCATAATTCTTTTTCGTTCATATAAGTATAATTCTTATATTTTTAGTGTTTGATTTATTTCATCTTACTTTATTATCTTTTACTGTTTTGTAGCTTTCATTGTGTCTTTATTTCCTTGCCCCCGGACACTTCAATGCGAGTGATCGAGAACCTGTCGCCTTTGCCAGACTTTTTGAGGAGGCCGGTTTCCACTTCGAAGGAGGACACCAGCCACCCGGGTCGAAATTGCACATCTTAGAGGCTACATGGAGAGGGTAGGGGGTGGACAGGCGCATGTATTTTATAATTACATCTTTCCGTATGCTTGACATGATTCGAGGCATTCTTCTCACTGCGATTTGAACACTAGTATGGATTTTCATAAGCTTCCGACCGGATCAACCCGAATTCCCTCTGCACATGTATGCCGGTCATCTCTGGATGTGATACTCCCTGGATTGGAAGGTCCCTCATGGAGTACTCCGGGCCCTGGTGTGTTGCCTGGGGCCAAGGGAGATTTTCTGAACTCGAGCTCGGCTGCTCCAGATCGTCGAAGCTCCATCGTTGCTGTGTTGATGTAGTGACGTCCTCAGGCTTGCCAGAATTTTGCTCCAGGTCATTGAAGCTCCATCTCTGCCGTGTTGATGTAGTGAGGTCCGCATGCTTGGCAGAATTATCCGTCGAAGCACCCGTGCTTCGAATACGGGACACCCAGGCAAGCGGCGTGAAGCTGCTGAGCCGCGACGAGAGCCGACTCCAGAAGGTCGAACCAGTGAGAAGCGGCTGGAAGACCGGCAGGCAGCAGCAGAGCAGGGAGACGAACATCTGGACACACGTCCAAAGAGAGACCATGCTGAAGGCATCTTCAATCACGAAGGAGTTTCCTCGGTCAGACCACTTGTCGTGAAACGTGAAGGGGGTCGCGGTGTAGTACTCACAAATCTCACTGAGAGAGAACGTCACCGCAATCTTGACGAACCCCAAAGTTCCAGCACTAGAGCAAACACCACGGTCAGTACGGGAGTAAAGATTTACGCAGAAGATTAATCTGAAAGATTACTCACATGATACCAAAGCCAAACAAGACCCTGAGCCTCCATTTTGTGGCCCGCGGCAGCTGACGAGGGCGGATCATGACCATTGCGAGAGCGACCATGGCGAAGTCGACAAACGAGTTCGGCGTCTCCCCGCCAACAATCACCACGCCGTCATCTCTGCAAGTGCCGGGTATCGATTTGTCGAAGTATCGCTCGAAGGGCCTGCATTGCAGCCCCTGGAAGACGCAGAAGATGATGCATAGCATCGTCTGAAACCCCCCGATGATGTAGATCCAGATCCGGTAGGTGCGGTTGATTCCAAAGATGCGGTAGAAGAGCGCGAGGACGCTCAGCTTGACGGTGAGGATGTGTCCAAGGTAGAGGTAGACGCCAGTCATGTCCCACTGTGGTCGATGTCAGTGATTGTACCACCACAGGTGAAGTGTAGGTGATGCGCGCCACTGGGCAATTGGCGCAAAAATGCCATGGTAGGTTGTGATGACGGTTGCGAGATACATACTACACGCATCTGACGATAATCCGATGGGCTCTCAGCGATTTCCTGCTCAATTGTGCGTCCATTGAGAATGCTGATAGCTATTCGAGGAAACCACCATTATTCAGTTGCAGTTCACCCGAATGTCATTAGAAAGGCCTGGTACTCACCCAGCAAACCCGCAAGGTTCACCAGCACGAAGAACACAGTGGCCAGAGCGGCCATCCAGTCCTCGAGCCCAGGCTTGCGCGCCCCATGGCGGGTAGCGACGAAGCGAAGCACCGTCACTGCAATGCCGAGGGGTGTGAATGTGATCAGAACGATGAACTGGGCAAATTGGGTCGAGTTGTTGTATATTCCGAACGCCATCTTTCCTCTCTATCGTGCCCAGCTTCAAGCGTGCGGCGCGGGTTGTCTTCCTTCCTCTGCACGTGGGTTGTGCTGGAGCGGACGTACGAACTTGTATTAGTCTTGGTCATCCTTCTGGACACCCTTCTGGACACCAGCTTATATTACTCACCGCCTACGGAATCACGCGAGCCCGCTAGGCAGACAGGGTAGTAGCGAAGATTGGGTGACGGCGGCTGACAGGGACGGACGATTTTCGTCCACCGCGGGGTGGCAGGCCCTGATCTGCTAAACTCTGCCCAACTGGCTGCGAACTCCACAACAATAATACCATTATTGTTACATCTACGCACCTCGTGGCGCTTGCAGCACACGGTGACTTGAAGGATCACAGAGATAGCCAGGGGAGATAACAGCATTGTATCAGTGGCAAGGACGTGGTCTGGAGCCGGGCGGGCATGGTCGAGGTCAGCTGCACGGGCACATTAATTAGCCTTACCCTTGGCCCCCAACTACTGGCGCTGATCGGAGCCTCGTACATGTCATGGCTGGTTTGCTGACGGACCTGTTGGTCCCTTGATGTGCATACGGCCAAATTTCTATTGGAGGTTGGGTGAGGACCGAAGGATTCGACTGCGCCCCCCACATGCAGGTCTACCTAGGTTTGCGAAACGCTCATTGCGACTACCAAACTACTACGGTAGTATCGTCGCACTTGCACCGTAGTGTAATCTTTAGTGGGTTGAAAAAGTTAATCCGCTTCTATTTTGGGGGCCAAGTCATGTTCAGCAATTTTTCGATGGCCGTTGTATGTTCTTCCCAAATGTGGACAGCAGATCGTCAACCCTTTAATTGCATATACAGGAAGAGAAATGGACGGCGAATATCGAGAATGGCTCTTCTCGATAACCACAGGCGAGATATGTGAAGAGGAAATCATAACGACAAGTTCACATTGAGATTCATCGCTCCCAGATAGGAGTCTCGCCTCTAAGCCCCAAGACCAACATGGTGGCGATTGATATCCCAACTTCACAACGCGCCCTCCAGCAAGGCGAAGATGGCCGGCTTCGCGTAATCAACAACGCCGCTATTCCACCACTACTGCCGGGTTACGTGCTTGTCAAGACACATGCAGTGGCGCTGAATCCTTCCGACCACAAAATTACGACCGGCTTCCCAATCCCGGGAGCCCACTCTGGCAGCGACTTTTCCGGCACAGTGGTCCAGCTGGCCGACGATGTCGACCCGGCCGTCTGGCCGCTCGGCAGCCAAGTCTGCGGTGCAGCCTTCGGCTTCTCGCCGCCACACAGACTGGCGAGCGGGGCCTTTTCCGAGCACGTCCGCGCGCGTGCCGACCTGCTGCTGCGCATACCAAGCAACCCCCACAACGGAGATTTCGAAAGAATTGGTCTCCTCGAAGCAACGACGTTGATGACCGCCCTCTCGACCTGCAGCCTGGCATTCTGGTCACCGGACGGGCTCGACCTCGCAGGCACGCCCGAGGCGCCCGTCGCCTCCGAGAAGCCCACCCCGGTGCTCGTCTACGGCGGCAGCACGGCCACGGGCACCATCGCCATCCAGCTGCTCCGGCTCTCGGGCTACGACCCGATCGCCACGTGCTCGCCCCGGAACTTCGACCTCGTCCGCGGCAGGGGCGCCTCGGCGGTGTTCGACTACTCTTCCCCGGATGCCGCCGCCGACATCAAGGCTCATTCGGCCGGGCGGTTGAAGTACGTACTGGACTGCATCAGCAGCGCCGAGAGCGTCGCGGTGTGCTACGGGGCGATCCAGCGACCCGGCGGGCGCTACGCGTCGCTTGAGCTGGTCCCCGCTGAGCTGTTGGCCAAGCGGAGGGCCGTGCGGGCCGAGTTTGTCCTGGCTGCGGAGGCGTTTGGTGAGGACATCGAGCTGGGCTACGACGGGTATGATCGGCCGGCGAGCAGGGAGAAGCACGAGTTGGCGGTGCGGAGCCTGGGGATGCTGCAGGGGCTGCTAGACTCGGGCAAGCTGAGGGCGCACCCTATCGAGGTGTTGGAAGGGGGCCTGCAGGGGGTCGCCAGTGGACTGGACATGTTGGCGGCGAAAGGCGTATCGGGGAAGAAGTTGGTCAGTATCATCGAATAGAAATGGACATGCGCTTTGTGCAATACGACAGTGAATTTTCACGATATGCATTCACAGGGGTACGGCAGCCTGGGACCCCTACAGTTCTGACAGGTAAGCACAATGTCACCTCCGTCCGAGGTCACATCGTGGCGTCAGCTCCTGTAGCCTCGAGACTGCAAGGGGTGCGTGGAAAATGACAACCCGCCGTTGTCGATCGTAAGCGCTATGCATGGAAGCAATGATCCCGAGAAGATGCCCGCTGCATCACTTCAGCGAATACACCGTTCCTAGTCTGCTGGAATGCTTGCCTTTTTCCTCTTGAATTTCAGTGGAGAGGCACTCGGTGTAGAACGCGTGACATGTGAGACCGTACCACGGAAAGACCCTCCAGCAGCCCGGCTCTGTTGCAGAGAAAGACTGGACCCCGAGCTGTGCGTCATCACATTTCTTCTTGGAATTTCGGCTTTCGGAGACCCTTTCCTGTCGCATACAGCCGTCATTCTTATCCTAAAGTACTGAGCACTCACTGTCCTGCCCTTGCCCATAGGCCGTTGATGACTCTTCGATGGGCTCGATAGATCCTTTCACGAGATAAGGCACAGCAGCGATGGCCGGCAGTTCAGAGCCATGTCACTCCCAGGCTACTGCACAGCATCACGGGAAGGATTCGGCACCCAGCGCAGAAACGCCAAGGCCCTCGCCGTCGCCAGACGAGCTCGAGAGTGTGGCGCCTCCCGCAGCCGCCTTCAAGCCCACTTTCCGCCTCTACGCCATCGTCGTCGGGCTGGGGATCGCGAACTTGCTGGCAGCGTTGGAAAACACCGTCATCACAATCGCCGCTCCCGTGATCCTGACCGACTTGGGGTTTGGGGATAATTTCATCTGGATCACCAACGCTTTCTTCCTCAGCAGGTACATTTGACCACTGGCCCTGTCCTATCTCCCTGCGCATGTGTGAAACGACTGAAATGGGTTGCTGACACCTGATATCTACGACACAGCACGGCACTACAGCCCCTCTTCGGCCAGTTTTGCAACGTCTTCGGCCGGCGATATGTCACATTCGCCGTCATCGCGGTGTTCGTGCTCGGCAGCGGCGTCTGCGGGGGCGCCACGACGGCCGGCATGCTCATCGCCGGGCGCGCCGTCCAGGGCGCCGGATCGGGCGGCATCATAATGGTCGCGAGCATCATCCTCAGCGACCTGGTGCCGCTCCGCCAGCGGGGCACCTACTCGGCCATGCTCATGTCCGTCTTCGGCATCGGCTCCGCCCTGGGGCCCTTCATCGGCGGCGCCATTGTCTCTTCGACGACCTGGCGCTGGGTGTTCTACCTGAACCTTCCTATCGGGGCGGCTGCCGTTACCGTGCTGTTTTTCTGTCTTCGGGTCAACTATGACAGGGAGATGTCCTTCTCGCAGAAGCTCAGGCGGATCGACTTTGTTGGAAACGCGATCCTGGTGGCCAGTACGGTTGCCATTCTCTACGCTTTGAGCTATGCCGGCACAAGGTACCCGTGGAGCTCGTGGCATACACTGGTGCCGCTCCTCCTCGGCTTTTTTGGTCTGTTCATCTTTGCGTGGGTACAGGCAACTGGCCTCTCGGCAGAACCCCTTGTGCCCCCTCGATTCTTCAAGACTCGCACCTCTGTCATCTTGGCCGTTGCCACGTTTCTTTCCTCAGCCTTGCTATACTGGTGCATATTCTTTCTACCAGTCTTCTTCCAGAGTGTCAAGCTCTACTCTCCCCGGAGGGCAGGTGTGGCCCTGCTCCCCATCTCACTGCTGGGCATACCCGGCTCCATGCTCGGGGCTCTGGCCCTTACACGCTGGGGCCGCTACAAGCCTATCCACATCGCAGCCTTCGCGATCCAGACCCTCGGCCTGGGTCTCTTTACACTACAGCGTGAGACCACGACGGTTGCAGAATGGGCTATCTTCCAGTGCATAGCTGCCTTCGGCGCCGGGATCATCTTCACGACCATGCTGCCCGCCTTCCAGGCATTCGTTCAGGAGCGCGACCTGGCTGCCTGCACGGCGGCCTGGTATTTCATCCGCCTGTTTGGCCACGTGTGGGGCGTGACGATACCCGCCGTCATCTTCAACAACCGCATCGACGGCCTGCTGGCCGGCGGTGCAGTCTCTGACCCGGATGCGGCGCGCATTATATCGGCGGGTGGCGCATACCAGGCCGCGTCCGCTGTTTTTGTGAAACAGTTCCCGCCCGACTTGCAGAGTGAGATTCGTGCTGTTTACAGGCAGGGCTTACAGCGCGTCTTCCAGGTCGCTATCGTTTTTGCCGGCCTGGCATTCTTGTTATCGCTCTTCGAGGAGGAGGTTGAGCTGCGGAAAACTCTTGAGACGGACTTCGGTCTGGAGGAGAAGGAAGACGAGAAGCACGCCAGTGGCCATAACCATGCGGTCGTGAAGGATGCTCGTTCAGCAGAGACGTGGCACTGACTGGAATGTGGCAAACATCTCTATACCCAGACGAGTCGGAAGTTGAACATAATTAATATTCTCTACATCGACCTCGTGACTAAATTGATAATTTTTCACCGTAAAACGTGGCTTCCTCCCGCGAGCCTAGTCGTCTTACGACCCAAACTCTACGACAGCTCTGACATGCATGCAGAACCGGAGCGGCGTTGAAATCCATCGCAAGAGGACATGTCCCTGATGAATTTGCGGGCTGCGCATCCTGGTGCAAGCAAGGTTCTTCCTTGTAGCTATATAAGCGCCCACAACTTTATCCCTCTCGCTGATAAGATGCACTCGGCCACCAAAGCCGTCCTGCGCGTCCCTCTCCCGGTTTGCTTGCCCATAATGAAACGGCAAAATCAACCCCGAAGCAGTGAACAGATGTAATATCAGACGTAAATTTGATCCACTGACGTTCACGGTTTTGCCGCGCCCGTCGTGCCGATATGCGCTGCGCCTCCTCAACCGCCGGCGCTACGTGTTCGGATCGGCGCGTTGTGACGTCTCATCAGGTGCAACAGGGCTGGAACGGCCTGGGCTGCCGATGACCTGATCACCCCAGGCCGCGCCGCAGACATGCATTCTAGCCACGTTGCAAGCGTTCTGTCTCGGTCCTTTTGTGCTGCGTCGAGGCCCGAGGTTCGCCGCTTCATCGGGTATGTCTCGCCGAGGCCAGGGAAATGCCCCGCCACGAGACTGTGTGACTTGAACTATGGGCGACCGGATGGGACGATGAAAGTTACTGTTGGTTCGGAGTGAGTTGGTACTGTAGCATTGGGCCCTAGTTCCATTAGTAACATGTCGGTCAGGACGTGCGGTCATGCCGCATGCATAAACACAAACACGCTTAATTGCATAACTACATGGTGAGATCATGGTGCGACAGAGAAACCAACGGCCTGCGGCGCACGCCTCCAACGTCTTTTGAGCTTCTACCCAACTACCGCATCAACGCCGAGTGCGGGAGCTAGCAGAACAGGTCCTGCCGCCGTCCATACTTGCTAAAACATTCATCTTTTCTTGGTACCTCGGATCTATTTGCCGTTCTGTTTCGTGCCTCAGATAGCACACTCCTAGCCATGCCTTTCACAGCTGCCCTTGTGGAGCTTCGCAACATGTGGGCACCCAGAGAGCTGCTAACATTTGTCTGTGGAAGTGTTAGTGTGCCCTCCTCCCCGTCCACACCCGTTCGCATTGATGTGAAGATCAGTCACTTGCTCACCGACTTAGCTCATATTCTATTGGGCCATTCGATCGATTTGGCTTGTCCATTTTCATCCCCTAGCCAGATTTCCTGGTCCCCGCATAGCAGCAGTGTCTGATATCTGGCTTGCGTACCATTCGTGAGGCGAACCTTCAAATTGATTCAAATGGCTTTGACTGAACAAATGTCTAGACTGACCGGACGATGGCCATGGGTCGTTGAGAATGCTCTCAAGAAACATGGTATTCCGACCAGAGCGTGCTCCATGGCGTTAACTTTGAATCACATTCTCACACTATCCACAGGAGATGTTGTCCGCGTTGCACCTAATGAGCTCGTCTTTTGTACTCCCCAGGCGGTCACGGGTAAGCAACACAGTCACTGGTCCACTTCGGAAGATGCGGCTCATTCAAAGTCATGCAGATATTTATGGCTCCCACGAGAAATTCCTGGAGCGTTTCCCGAAGACTCAAATTAACAATCATGGAAACGATGAGCACGGCGGATTGATCTGGGAGTGGGATCCCGTGAGACACCGGCAGGTTGCCAAACAGCTGTCTCCGGCCTTTAGTGGACGCGCGCTTAAAGCGAAAGAGCCGACCATACATAAATATGTTGACCTCTTTGTTCAGCGCATGGAAACTCTAGGTTCAGGTTCGAATGGCCAAGGAGTCAGCTTACCCACATGGATCAACTGGATAGTAGGCAAATTTCATGAGACTAGTCATGGGCCAGAAACTTCCTCGCTCTGTGTTTTTGTTCCCATGACATCCTCTCCGTGTGCTTTGAAAGCTGACCAAGGATTTTGTAGTGCGTGGATATATCCGCTGACATGGCCTATAATCGAGAGATGAATTCCCTGAAAGACAGTAAATCTCCCAACGGTCTCCCGACGCCTCCCTCGGATCAGTATCTCCAGAGGTCTCCCAGTTGATCTATCCACTAACCCCAAGATAGTGAAAGACGCCCCCTACCTATCCCTTCTAATGCGCCTACACCGAGCCATTGTGCTTATCCAGGTATCATGGCGCTTTCCGCTTATAAGCCCGCTGAAGTACCTCTACCTGGTGCCTATGATGATGGGGCACTCCCACATAAGAGAGCACAGCCGCCAGCAACTGGAGAGACGCATCCGGCGCCAGGGTGCCGTAGAGCATCTCGACTTCATCGAGCAGCTAATCCCCGAGGACCGCGAACCGCCCAAGGGGAAAGAGCTGCGCCACCTTGAACAGGTGGCAGGCCAGCTGCTGATTGCGGGATACGAGCCCCCGTCACTCTGGTTCTACTTCACCATCTATCATCTGGTACAGAACCGGGGTGCCCTGGACATTTTGACCAGGGAGATCAGGGACGCCTTCGAGACGTATGACGGCATCACAGCCGGGGCAGCGGCGAACTTGCCGTATCTAACATGCTGCCTGAAGGAATCTCTCCGATTCACGCCGCCGCTTCTGACTGGCATGCCGGTCATAAGCCCGGGCGCGACAGTCGATGGGACGTATGTTCCGAGAGGTGTATGTCACCAACTCTTCACAAGACCCTGACCGAATGTTATCTCACCATCCGTCGTCATTCTAGGTCGTCTGTCAATCCAGCCTCCTCACCTTGGCGCGCAGCCCCAGGAACTTCCACGAACCCCTGCAGTTCCGGCCGGAGCGGTGGATAACTGCTGACGACAATCACCCGCTATCCGACCCCCAATTCGCGGACGACAACAGGGCAGGGTTCCAGCCGTTCAGCCAGGGCCCGAGAATCTGTGCGGGCAGGGAGATTGCCTGGTGGCCGATTAGGGTATTCATTGCCAAGGTCTTGTGGAAGTTTGATCTGGAGATTGTGCCTGGGTCAATCGGTGCTGAGGGCATTGACGGTGTTTTGAGGGGTTGGGCTATGTATGAGAAGCCTGAGGTCCGGGTGAGGTTCTTGCCTGTAGGTAACAAGGATTTAGTGTAGTCTGATTATTGAACCCCTCTGTGGCCGGCAAAGAAGCTGTGAATCTGCATTTCGCCGTGTTCGTGGTCCATGACAACACTGATAGAAAATTTGCAGTCTATCTGTTACTTGCTAAATTACGTCGCCCTTTCATTCAGAATTGCCGACGATAACTTGAGTATTCTGCGTGTTTGAAATTGGTCAATTCGAGTCTAATTTTGGGCTTCTGTATCTGACTGAACAGCGAATCATGATCACGTGGGGGATCGTTGATTTTGGTCAGACCACGCCTCTTGAAGCTGATTTCAACCCCAATCTTGCTCTTGGGATGTGCAATTACTTGGCACTAGGCTTTCTAACGGTATGGAAACGTGCTAGTCCGGTTGCTTGGCTTGAATTGGTGTGGTTTTCTCGCTCAGTACATAAGGTCCATCGATACATGCAATTGCAATAATCTACCTCTTAGATAGAATATTCGATAGAAATTGAATCAAGAACAGAGCGTGGCGTCGATCTCATCGGGATCCTGCCGTCGACAAGTACCGAAATCACCCCGTCATAGGCAGTCCTTAGTATACCCTACCCACAGGGATTTCTGATGTAACGGAGAGATCCTTCTGCGGCGCAGCTGAATTATCAGCTGATCAAATTTCAGCTTCGGCTACGCTGCTGACATGCAATACCGTATCAGTCTCGTCAATCACTTTTTCTCCACTGGTCTAGACACGGATTGGCAGCCTAAGGACCAATGTGCACAGGCAAGGCCGTTCTTTTTCGGTGACCATCACGCATGCGATCGGCACACAGGCAGCAGAATGCCCCTGGAAGCTAGGAACGTGGGGGCCGCAACGGACTCCGCGTCACCCACCATTCTTCGACACTGACTTCTAAAAGAAGCTTGTTAGCGGGTGATCTCCTGGGGTAGACCTGGGTGTAAGAGTACGATAAATTCATAATATCGAGATATACCGTTACTCGGGCGTCTAATTAGCTTCGTGGTGCCAGTACCACCGTGAAACCTGCGTCGGATGTTACATCGCGCTTAGTCGCAAGGCATCCGCGTAGAAGCGACCAGGGGATCCATTTTTATATTTCCGGCTTGGCCATGAAGATATTCCGCCTCGCCCTTGCCGTACTGCATGGATACATTTGATGTGCTAGACTATGAAAGATGGTGCCTTAGAAGTTTAGCGCTGCCCCTTGTCTGGCTCACGGATGGCAAAGGGCTTGTGGGTTGTGACTTAATCTCATGTCTATTGGTAGCTAGCTGGTGTGTGTGGCCGTGATATTTCGCAATGTCCATGGAACCGAGGGAAGGAAATTGGATGCTCATCTAATGTCGCACACTGCTTTCCATTTGATGCAGCATTCTCTTGCCATATCTAATCGTCCAGCAAGCACGCTGTGTCTATGGCATGTTTGTACACACTCCGGCTCAGGCACGAACTATTGATTTACCATGGCCGTTGAGGGAGGAGACATTGCCATCATTGGCTCTGGTTGCCGCTTCCCAGGTGGCTCCACATCGCCGGACAAGCTTTGGGAACTTCTGAGCGAGCCAAGACTCGTTGCTAGCGAAGTTCCCTCATTGAAAGGATACTACCACAAGAGCAATCAGTATCATGGCCACGCAAACGTTCGTGAAGCATATCTCCTCGAGGGGGAGGGAGTACACCGGCGCTTTGATGCAGGCTTTTTTGGGATCAGCCCCTCCGAGGCCAACAATGTGGACCCGCAGACTCGTCTGCTCCTCGAGGTTGTTTACGAGGCACTCGAGTCTGGCGGTCAGACAATCGACCGACTGAAAGGCTCCGATACGGCCGTCTACGCCGGTCAGATGGTCAACGACTACGAGCTCCTGATGTACCGGGATCACGAGAACTACGGCAAATACCACGCAACGGGCGCGTCGAGGGCAATGTTATCAAACAGAATCTCGTACTTCTTCGACTGGCACGGCCCGTCGATGACTATCGACACGGCTTGCAGCTCGAGCTTGGTTGCCCTGCATCACGCTGTTCAACAGCTGCGATCTGGTCACTCACAAGTAGCTATTGTGGCTGGATCAAATCTCATCTACGACGCGGGCACCTTTATCGCGGAGACAAATCTCCAAATGTTGTCGCCCGGAGGCCGATCTCGGATGTGGGATGCGGACGCCGACGGTTATGCTCGCGGAGAGGGCGTTGCTGCAATAGTGCTCAAGACAAGGCAGGCGGCTGAGGCCGATGGTGACAATATTGAGTGTATTATTCGAGAGACGGCGCTGAATCAAGACGGCAGGACACGGGGACAGACGATGTAAGTGGAAAGCCACAGGACGGAACTTGCGATTTAGATTGCTCAGAAGGCTGACTGTCGTCACTTCGTTCCAGGCCAAGCGCGGATGCCCAGGCACAACTTATCAAGGACTGCTATGCCCGTGCTGGGCTGGACCTCAGCAATCCCGCGCATCGCCCACAATACTTCGAGGCCCATGGCACGGGAACACCAGCCGGTGACCCGATTGAGGCTGAAGCCGTCGCAGCTGCATTATTTCCAGACGGACGAGGAGTCAATGGCTCTCTCGGGCCTCTTTTTGTTGGCAGCTGCAAAACTGTCATCGGCCACACAGAGGGAACAGCAGGCATAGCTGGAATTCTGAAAGCATCACTTGCGCTTCAGCATGCTAGTATTCCACCAAACCTCCATTTCAACCGCCTGAATCCCGACGTGAGACCCTTTTACGATAATCTCTGCATTCCAACTGGTGAGCAGAGACCATGGCCCTCCATGGCTTGGGAAGGCCCACGCCGTGCGAGCGTAAACAGGTTAGTTGATCAGATACAGATATGATAATAGCTACCGATATACTGACACATCGACCTCAGCTTCGGATTCGGAGGCACTAATGCCCACGCCATACTCGAGAGCTACACGCCACGGGCTGATATAATGCCATCTAATCACGTCAATGTGCCGCCATGCATTCCGTTCGTCTTCTCCGCAGCCTCAGAATCATCCTTGAAACAATATCTCGAAAGCTTCTGTAACTACCTAAGCCGGGGTGATTCTGTGTCTAGCCTTCACGATATTGCTTCATCGCTGGCCTCCAGACGGACCCGGTTCCCAGTGGCCGTGGCAATTGGCGCGTGCACCCAGGACGAACTCAAGGGGAAAATACAGCAAAAGCTCGAGGCGTCGCGGAGTGATCCGGAGCTGCGCGTCGGCTACAGGACAACGCGCCGAGACGCAGCCGCAAGCCCCGGCAAACCTCGGGTCTTGGGGGTCTTCACAGGGCAGGGCGCACAGTGGGCGCAAATGGGGCTGGAACTGATCACCACGTTCCCGGCTGCGAGAAACATCATGGAGAGGCTACAGAAGCGGCTGGATCAGTTGCCTGTCGATGATCGTCCCGCACGGTCGCTCTTGCAAGAGTTGCGGGAAGACGCCTCCTCGACCCGCGTCATGTCGGCTGCCGTATCTCAGCCTCTCTGCACCGCCATTCAGATCATCCAGGTCGATCTGCTACGTGCTGCGGGTATCGATTTCTCTGCCGTAGTGGGTCACTCATCCGGCGAAATCGCAGCAGCCCATGCAGCTGGTCTGCTTTCTGCCGAAGATGCTATCTGTGTTGCCTACTACCGCGGCCTACACTCGGGGTCATCCCAGGGCGCCGCTCAGAAAGGTGCTATGATGGCCGTTGGCACGTCTGCAGAAGATGCCGAAGATCTCCTTGGATTCCCTGAGTTCGAAGGGAGGGCTTGTGTAGCCGCTGTGAATTCAAAACAGAGCGTAACACTCTCTGGGGACCACGACGCTCTCTATGAGATGGAGGTCGTGTTTGGAGACGAGGAGAAGTTTACCAGATTCCTCAAAGTGGACAGGGCTTACCACTCTCATCACATGAAGGCGTGTTCTGCTGAGTATCTTGGCTCCCTGAAAGCACTGGGAGTTGAGGTGGGTCGTGGCAACCAAACTCGCTGGTTCTCAAGTGTTTCCGGATCAGAACTGGGCGAGGAGGAGTTGCTGAAGGGCCCCTATTGGGAAAGCAACATGGCAAAGCCGGTGCTATTCATGCAGGCTATCGATCAGGCCTGTAACGCCATGAATCAACTGGACCTGGTGGTTGAGTTGGGCCCTCATCCCGCTCTTAAGGGGCCCACACTTGAGACCATTCGGGACCGACTCTCATGCACGGTTCCCTACACAGGTCTTTTCCAACGTGGCGTCTCAAGTATCTCATCTCTCGCTGACGGTCTTGGCTATGCCTGGATGCATCTTGGCGAGAGTGGCGTCGACCTACAGCGCTACGGCGAATTTGTTTCCGGGAGCCTGAACTCGGCGCCTGCCAAGGGCCTTCCGACGTACGCTTGGGATCACCAAAGCGAGTACTGGCACGAATCAAGATGGGGCAGGGCTGTTCGCCTTCGTCAAGACCCAGTAAACGAGCTACTGGGCCACTTGACGCCAGACAGTACCGAGCATGACATGCGTTGGCGCCACATGCTGCGACTGTCAGAGATTCCGTGGCTCTCTGGGCATAGGCTGCAGAATGGCATCATATTTCCGGCCGCCGGTTACGTCGTGAGTGTGCTCGAGGCCGTTCGCATACTTTGCAAGAAGTCTCCTGTCAAGACCATTGAACTGCTGGATCTTGATATAGTCTCGGCGCTCATGTTTGAGCACGAGAATTCGAGCATGGAGATAATTATGTCCCTTGCAAACATCTCGAGACAGAAGGAAAGAACAATCGAGGCAGAGTTCAAATATCACGCTGCGGCTGCAGATGGCTTTGACGACCTCAAACTCAAAGCCAGCGGCCATGTGCGTATTCATTTAGGCGAGCCCGACGAGACTGCTCTTCCTGCACAACGGCCAATACTGTCCAATATGCTGCCTGTGTCGAAGGACAAATTCTATGAATCAATAGCCGAGATCGGGTACCAGTATGGTGGTCCTTTCAAAGCACTCGAGGGAATACAGAGAAAGCTAGGTGCGGCCACTGGCTCAATCTCAACGCTTGAGCCTTCGAGTCTCATCATCCATCCCGCAGCTCTGGATGCTGCATTTGTATGTCCAATGCCCCTCCTTGATGGTTGATGACCTGGTTTACTGATTCAATTGCAGCACTCTACATTCCTGACTTATGCCGCTCCTGGTGATGGGGCTTTGAATTCAATGCACGTCCCGAGAAGGATTCGACGCCTTGTTGTCAACCCGAGTCTTTGCACAGGGGGGAACCAAGCTACTTGTGCCCTCGAAGCAACCCATACCTCCGCGTTACCCCATGCCAATCTCACCTGCGACATCAACATTTACCCCGGCAGTCTTGATAACGCAATGGTCCATATTGAAGCATTAGAATGTGTCCCATTCTCACCCAAAGCACCGAACGACGATCAGTCACCATTTTACCAGCTTGCATGGGGCGTCGCAGACCCGAATGTCGAGTTGGCCGTGGAGAACAGTACCAGCCCGGCAGCATCGGCCGAGGCTGCGACCTTTACAAGACATCTGGCTCGGACCATCCAGCAGATCGTGCACAGATATCCTCGCATGCAAATTCTGGAGTTGCCATCAGAGACCAGCGCCCCAACAAAGGCTATACTGGACAACATCGGCTCAAAATTCGCGTCCTACACTGTCACCACGCACGCGTCTTCCTTGACTACTTCGGAATCGGAGTCGACTTGGCTGAAGGACGAGAGATTGATTTCGAAGAATCTAGACTTATCATGTGGTTTGAAAGAGCAAGGGTTCCTAGACTCTTCATACGACCTGGTTGTGGCACCCCATTCTTTCTCCGGCACATCTGACCTCGATCAGGCCCTGCGCAAAGTGCGGCGTCTGCTCAAACCAGGTGGCTATCTTGTCGTGTTGAGCCCTCTGCCATGTACTAACAGCTTCTGGGACGATTTGCTGCGAACAACTGGCTTTTCGGGGATTGATACCAGCAGTGGGGATGTAGAAGGTGCCATGCCGCTTTCTGTATTCGCATCGCAGGCCATGGACGAAAAGATCGCCTTCCTTCGCAATCCTCTTTCCATGGCATTCCCATCTTCGGAAAGATTGGTACAAGATCTCGTGATCCTCGGCAGCAACAGCCTGACGGCAAGGGGGCTCACGAACCAGGTTTCAGCTGCCCTTGAAGCATCTTGCGGCAGAATTCAGGCTGCAAACTCCTTCGACGATTTTGTCAGCCTCAGAATCACACCGGGAGCTGTCATCTTGAACCTGCAAGATTTAGATCGCAGCGTGTTCGAGCACCTGGACGATAAGACATGGAATGCCCTGAAGAGAATGACACTCCATACAGGAACTCTTGTCTGGGTGACTCGGGGGCGGCGTGCTGAAAATCCGCGCGCAAACATGGCCATGGGTTTGCTGCGTGCTGCGGCGCGCGAGAACCCGGCGCTCGACTATGTTCTTTTAGACATCGAAGAGGCGTCCGACTCGGACCACCGCATCATAGCAGAGACTCTGCTCAGGCACAAGGCAGCGTCTAGATGGTGCCACCAAGACGGCCTCCACTTCACAACCGAGAACGAGCTGGTAGTTGACAAGGCACGGCGACTGCTTGTCCCCCGCCTCGTGCCGAGCCAAGAGATGGACGACCGCTACAACTCCAGTGGCCGGGAGGTCCGTACCCCTGTGCGTGCTGATACGCACCAAGTTGGCGTGTCCATGCAAGATGGGAAGTGGGACTTAAGCCTGATACCGCCATCATCCCAGCCTCAGGATGGACGCCTGAGATTGCAGACTACGCACTCTCTCATCTCGCCGGTGCGGGTCGCGGAGTTTGGCAGCATGTTTGTGGTGCTTGGGAGAGACATGGCATCTTTCAGAGATGTGGTCGGGCTCTCCTCCAACAATGCATCATTCGCTCACGTCCATGCAGAACTCGTGATCCCAATTGGAGATCATCGGGGAACTGAAGACCGACTCCTGTGGCTCATGGCTAACCATTTGATGGCGAGCATCATTTTGAGGGGCCTATCCAAGGGCGATAAGGTTCTGGTCCACGGATGGAGGAGGGAAACCGCTTGGGTTCTGGCCGAGCGAGCCAGAATATTAGGCGTGGAGGCCAAGTTCACGACAACAGATCCCGAATCATCGGAGGCTGACGGCATTCAGCGAATCGTGTTACACCCCAACGCCTCTGCGTCAGCTCTGGATCGACTAGCTCAAGAGGACTTCTCCGTGTTCATTGATATGACGAATGCTGCTGAGACTGGTTCACTGGGAAGTAACATCGCCTCGTCACTGTCAACCTACTGCAGGAAAGAGAACTACGCGTCGTTGTTTGCAAAGAATGCTTACGATCCTAGGGAAGGGCATTTGGACGGTATCCACGCCCGCCTGGAAGAAGCCGTGACATGGGCTTCTGTCGTCATGGCCGAGCCTGGCGAGGCGGCATGGATCAGGGAAGCTATTCCTACCATGCCAGTGGCTCTAGCATCCATTCCCGGAGAGGACAGCCTCGTGGATCCGCTCACGGTTGTCGAGTGGGCTTCCACTTCTGGCGTCTCGGCAAGAGCTTGCCCGGTCGACTCACTAGTATCGTTCCCTGGAGACAAAACGTACTGGCTTGTGGGCCTCTCTGGAGGTGTAGGCCTTTCACTCTGCGAGTGGATGGTGCAGCGCGGAGCTCGATATTTCGTCATCAGCAGCCGGAGTCCCAATATTGAGGCGGCGTGGCTGGACGAGATGCATGCAAAGGGGGCTGTAGTCAAAGTTTCAGCATGGTAAGTCCTTCTTTTAGATTGTACTAAAATGTTTGAAGCCCCGATTTCTAACTGTATTCTAGCGACGTCACCAATGAATGCCAAGTCCGTGCCCTTTACCAAGAGATTTCATCCTCTATGCCACCCATCGCGGGTGTAGCACAGGGGGTAATGGTTCTCGAGGACACGTCCCTCCAAGACATGACCCTTGACCAGCTATCAGCAGTCACGAAACCTAAGGTCGAGGGAAGTATCTACTTAGATCGACTCTTCGCGGACAACGTACTCGAATTCTTCATCTTCTTCTCGTCGGTGTCGACAGTCGTTGGAAACCATGGGCAGGCAAACTACGCGGCAGCCAACGCGTTCATGGCCAGCCTCGCCGAACGGCGTCGAGAACGGGGCCTCGCTGCGTCGGTTATCGACATTGGCCCGATCGCTGGGATCGGTTATATCAGCCGGGCCTTTGAGGAAGGGGCTCTTGGCAGGATGACGATGCGGACGTCGGGCTGGGCGAAGACGTCGGAGCGGGACTTCCACCAGCTTTTTGGAGAGGCGGTGCTCGCGGGACGGCCTGGCTCGACGGGCCCGATTGAGATCGGATCAGGTCTGCGCAGAGTCCACCAGGGAGAAGACGACCAGCCTGTCTGGCATTCATGGCCGCGCATGAGCCACCTGATCTCGCGCAGTGAGGGACCTATAGATCCGGGCGAAGGTGGTACCGAGGCCAGAGTTCCCATCAAGGACCGCCTCTCGAAGGCCCCGGACGGTGAAGTCCACACTATCATCTGGGACGCCTTCACAAGCCAACTCGGATCCCATTTTCAGCTCGACACCCGGGACGCCAGTAAGGAGGAGCTGGCCGCCATGCGCCTCGATCAGATGGGAATTGACTCGCTCACGGCGATGGAGATCCGCGGCTGGTTCATGAAGACACTCGAGGTCAACATACCTGTTCTGAAGATCCTTAACGGCAGCTCAATCAGTGAGCTTGTCGCCATTGCGACCGAGGCTATTCAAGAACGGAGAGCCCAGACCGTCGATGAGGGCTCCGAGGCCTCTGCGACGAGCCAGGAGCTGGTCGACAGCTCGAGCACCGATCCTGACGAGCCTGGTGATACGGATGACGAGAATGTGTCGTCGAAGCCTGGCTCCCTCTGTGATTTCGCACAGTCTGGCCAAGTGATCCTCAAATCAGTTCCGGTCTCGTCCACTCAGGCGAGATTCTACCCATCCGGAATATTCCTGGAAGACCTGGTCGGTCTCAACCACACCGCTTGGACCAGGATCACAGGTGCAATAGACACGGAAAGGTTGCGGCAGGCGGTGCTTGCAGTAGGCCAGCAGCATGAGATCTTGAGGACGGCATTCTTCGACCAGGGTGGCCAACAGATGCAGCACGTACTAAAGGCCAGCCTCCTCCACCTGGAACACCAGCAGATAGAAGACGAGGAGGAAGTGGCAAGAGTCGCAATGTCCATCCAGAAGGGGCACGTATACGACGTCGCGCGCGGAGAAACGATCCGACTGATCCTGGTGTCCCATCCAGCGGGAGAGAACTACCTCATCATCGGCGTCCACCCCCTCATCATGGACGCAACAGGCATCCAGGTCTTCCTCCGCTGGCTCGCCTTCCACTACACCAACCCACACTCCCAACCCCGCGTGAAGCAGTTCGCCACTGCATCCCAGCAGCGGCACGCCGCCCTCGCCGCAGGGGAGTTCAGACCAGAACTTGAGTACTGGCGGCGTGAATTCCCCTCGCCCCCGCCCGCCCTCCCGCTCCTAACGGTGTCGAAGGTGCGAGAGCGGCCCGTCCTGAGGGCCTACGAGAACATCACGGCAGACTGCCGCATCGGCCCGGAGACCAAGGCGCGGATCGCCGCGATCTGCCGGCAGCTGCGGACGACGCCGTTCCACTTCTACCTCGCGGCCCTGCGCGCCCTGCTCCTGCGGTACTGCGAGGGCGGGGAGGACGTCACCACCGCGGTGGCGGAGAACGGCAGGGGGCGGGATGCCGAGGAGATGGAGGTCGTCGGGCCGCTGTACAACCTCGTGCTTGTGCGTATCGTGGCGGATCTGTCGACCGGGTTCAGGGACCTGCTGGAGGTCGCGCGCGACAAGACGTACGCGGGCTTGGCTAACGGCAATGTGCCATTTATCAAGGTCGTGGAAGAGTATGTCTGCCCCCTTTCCCCTTCCTCACTTTTCACATGGCGCAAGGTATGAGTTTCGTTTTGGCAGAAACTCGCGCTGACATCTCCGGTACAGACTCGGCCTCCAACGCAACGCAAGACACACTCCATTCTTCCAGGTCTTTGCAGATTACAGAACCGGCCAGCGGGAGACGGTCGCCTTTGGCGAGAGGAACGAATTGTGTTTCATGGGGTTCGACCTGAACGTGCCGTACGATGTCTACCTTGACACAGTAGACGTGCCGGACGGGGACTGTGCCCACTGCTTGTTCCTGCGTAGGGATCTGTTCGATCAGCCGGCGGCGGACAGGCTGGTTGCCAGTTATAAGCTTTTGATAGAGGCTTTTGCGGCTGAGCCGGAAATATCGGTCGGTGCGGTGGATCTGGCTGCGCCTGGGGAAGTTGAAGAGCCCGGGCTGTAGACACAAATTGAGGTGCTTGACACCTGACACAGCGATGTAGTACTTGGTTAATGACATGTGTACACATATAGTCACGATCGGGCAGCATACCCGCATCTTAATGGAGGTGTACAAAGGTAGATCTACCTCGACACGACCAACCTCAGAGCTCAAACTCCTCCACCTCCATCCCACAACTAACACAAGTCTTGGTGCTCATCCCCGCCTCATCCACGACCGCCCGCCCCCACTCGTGCACATGCTTCTTGACGGCGCCCCCCGCCGCCAGGTTCTCCCCGAACCGCGCGTCCCCGCCGCCGAGGCTGCCGGACCCGCGCCGGAACGCGTCGGCCCGCGTCTTCTTCTTGAGGTCCAGCAGCCGGTCGCGGAACTTGTCCTCCTTGCGCTTCTTCTTGGCGGCCTCGCGGCGCGCGAACTCGGCGTCCAGCGCCTCCGCGGAGCCCCACTTCTGCCCGAAGGCGTACTCCTCCACCTGGTACCGCAGGAAGAGCATCATGTCGTGCCAGTGCGTCTTGTGCGGGTTCGGGCGCGAGAGGTGCGGGAGGAGGTCCTTGTCGCGGAGCTCGGCTGGTGATCTGGTGTTAGCAACTCACTGCTGGGATGCGATGATGGGTTGTGGGTGGTGCTTGATTGTGGAAAACTCACGATCTGTGATGAGGTAGTCCTCCCGGCACTCCGTCTTGGTGAGCAGCGAGTACTTCTCTGGAAACTTCTCCTTGCAACCTCCGCACACGCAGCACCCAAACACCTCCTCCCACACCCAGTCGATCTCGAGGTTTCCGCACTCCCTGCACTTCTTGCGCTCGGCCTTGTCGGCGATGGCGCTGAGGCCCGGCTCGAAAGGGCCCGCCTTTTGTTTCTGCAGCTTCCGCAGCAGCTGCATCCGCTCCCACTCCGCCTCGGTCATGTGCTTGGGCCGCTGCGGCTCGTCCGGGTTGGCGCCGGGCCCTGGACCGCTGCCGCCCCCCGATAAGCTCTTGTTGAACGGGTCGTCCTCGGTCGACAGGAACCCGCCCTTGGTGTCCGTCATGTTGCTGAAGTTATAGTCCACGAACCGTGCGAACTTCCTGTTTGCCGCGCGCGGCACGGAGCTGTCATCGTTGCCGCCAGCCCCTCCACTGCTGCCGCCGACATCTTGCCGTTTCGCCGGTGACCGCGCATCGCGGTTGGTTTCGGGGACATGGGATTGTGTGATGGACTCGTAGGGTCGTTTGCGGAGTGTTCGCTTGCCGGGGGCGACGACGTGGACGTCCTCGGTGTCGACGAAGCCAGATGATGACTTGGCTACGGGCCGCTCAGTTCCGGATGCGCGGGCGGCGGCTTCTCGTTGTGAGCGGAGGTCTTTTGCGCGGAGGCGGGATTCTTCCTGTTCGAGGAGAGGTCAGGACTGAAGAGAAGGTGTCTCTTTCAGTGAGAAAACCCACCAGTTTGCGCGTGACTTCTGGGGTGGGAGGCGAGACGTTAACGGCTTGTGATGTCGCCTGCGGCGGAGGGGTGCACGGGCGCACCATGGCGCGATCTAGGCGTTGGGAGAGTATTCGTCGGTGGTGAGGTTGGAAGACAAGGATTACGGGTGATACGCGGATGCAAAGTCAGTGTCAAGACAGGAACAACCAGGACAGAAATGCAAAGTGGGATTGGGTGATTTCGTCGAGAAAGAGTGCAGCCGTGAATGGCGGCTTCGATGACGGTGTCGGCTGTGACACATTAGCTGGGGCGCGGCAGGCAGCCGCGCCCGACTCGGCATAGCAAAGCGGGTGGCCATTTGCCCGCCGCTCAGAGGACAGGCACGACGACCAGGGGCCGGGAGACCGACAATGGAGTCAAAACTGCTGCATTATCAAACGCGACGTTTATGATCTATCGCGTGGGTCAACGCACAGCTTCACTGCCAGATCCAGAAAGCTGCCCAACCCCAGCTATACATGCATGTGTTTTTTCCTTGGGGCGCCCCATCTGTCGAAGGATCGCTCCCAAAACCGGCACCATCGCATTTGTTCCCTGCACCCCGATAAACCCCCGACATGTCCCAATCATGCGCACGTAAAGCCGTTTATTATATGGAGTACAAAGAACTTTTGGTGTTGTTGACGGCCAAGCAAGAGAAGAAGAGCCTTACTCCTCCTTGGCACCACCGCGGCCGGCCCGCTCGGCAGCCTCGACGGCCTTCTTGTCGCTCTCGGGGGGACCCTGCATGCCGGACATGAAGCCGGCGGCGGCCTTGAAGGGCCTCTTGAGGTCGCCGGAGGCCGGGTGGCCGAGGACGTGGATCTTGAACAGGTTGCCCTCGAAGGCGGACTTGAGCGGGATGATGCTCTGGATCAGCAGCGGGTTGGTGTACTTGAAGTAGAAATGCATGACGACCATCATGCCCATGCCCATCAGCTGCGACCGGAAGGCCTGCTTGAGCTGGCCCATGTCATACGCGTGGATCGTGGTCGTGACAAGCTTGCCCTCCTCAGTGGAGCCCATCGGGGCCGGCTCGACGTACTTGAGCGTTGTCATGTCTGCAGAGGGGCGAGAGGAGTCAGCAGCCAGGAAGGCAGAGGGGGGCATGGAGAGATTTAAAGGGATTCAAGGAAGACTGACCCTTCTTGCCGTCAATCTTGGTCCTGATGTACAGGTAGATGCCCATGATGATCAGGTTGCTGAGCAGGTAGAGACCACGGCAGGCGTTGAGCACATTGGGATCTTCGAAGGGGACCCTCTTGGCCACCTGCATCATACCCAGGATGATGACGATGTTGGTTCTGAATGCGACGGCATAATGTCAGTGCTGCACAAATAGTAGGCTCCGGGGCAGAAGCAATTTGGCGGAGGCTGTCGCGAGCGACGATGCCCGCGATGGCGAACTCTGCTGAGACTCACACTTGGGGACCTAGGCCGGCCATTTTGAATGATTTGTTGCGGGAACGAGAAGACCAAAGCGAGGATACAGTTGGCGAAGGTCGGGCGAGCGACGCAGCGGGAGCAGACCAGGCAGATGTCGGTGGTGGGAGGATCAAGCAGAGGTTGAGTCTGGCGGAATGCAGATGCGCCAGGTAAGGTGTCACTGTCAGTGGCTGGGCGATTTGGGGTCCCCGGCGGCGTCTGGCCTCAGCAACTTTTTTGCCGCAAGAAGCCACCTCAGCGGCCGACGGCCTGGGTGGGGTGGGTCCCTCGTGTGGTAGCGCAGCGCATGATTGGCTAGAGGGGTTAGCTTGGCAGATGCTGGTTAAGCCTCAGATAGGAAACGCCGGACATTGGCAGCTGTCACGATAGCTCCTTCCACACCGATAACGATCCGCCATTATGTTCATCATGTCTCAACACCAGCCACCTGCCATCACTGTTCTTGACATGATTAAATCTCCGCGACTGTGAGAAGACAAATCTGTCGAGCTCGGCGGAGATCAGTATTCTTGTTTCTATGCTAGCAACCTGCTCACATGCACTTCAGCCAACTCGCTGCGATTGGGTGCCATCCCATCGATGTGCCTATCGAGACACGACATATGAAAGGGTAATTGTTGTGCCGAACATCAGGCGGTTTATATATGCCTTCAGAGGAGCTCTGAATTAGATCCTTACATTTCTCAGTTAACCTGTGAACCTCGGGGTTGAGGCACTTCTTCCCATATGAGTGCGGAAGGACCTACCTACTCATCACTCATCTGATTTGTACTTGAGTGAAATCGTTCTTCCTCAGATCGACACCATGTGCAGCGAATAATTCATGGGCTTTAAAGTGGTCGCAAAGGCTCTTGAAATCACGGGGGCTTAATCCCGCGCTTTGTATCTTCTCCACGTCTGGTCGGATATGGCTCAAGATAGAGAACCTCTGTTGCATGACAGACATGAATCTCCCCCAGTCCCAGTAACGCTCCTTTTTGGAACATGGCCTTTTGACTTGTCCGACCTCGTCTGAGAGTTGGTTCAAGATCTTCTCTAGAAGGACTGAAGTTCGATCCAGGCCGCGGCTTGTGTCGATTGCTGCACTGGCGCTTGTGGTTGAAAACTGAAAACTGGCCACGGATATTGCTGCGGGGTAGAGAGTTTGATCCATGGGGAGCTTCGGCAAATGCAATGTAGTAGAATCCTCGTTCCATAGTAGCAGCAGGAAACGGTGAGTGAGGTCTGCCCATTGCACAAGCTGCGGGAGTATGGCCATTTCTTCCAGAGGCTGGTCGCCCCGAAGTTGCACGTCAGGCCACACCATTGGCTCCTTCTTGAATGGATTGCTAATGAACAGTCCAAGAAAGTGGTCCAAAGACCAGTCCTGGTCCAAATGCCAGACGCGGCCCCATCCTGTAGCCTTATCAATCTGAATGTAGTCTTTGTGACGCAAACTGTTAACTTCATCAATGAGATGTTGAAGTTGAGTCTTGTCCCTTAATACCTTGATACCTATATGAGCATGCTTCTGCCACCTTTCCAGCAGATCTAGCTCTGTCAAATTAGTGCTTTGAATCCCCCGGATTGCCCTGTGCGTCAAAGTCATGCCCAAGGTCATTGGGTTGTGTCTCCACAATTCTGGAAAACTCGACAAGCGAGGAAACATGTCCTTTGAAGATAGAAATATATCCCAGGAAGTCTGCAGTGAGACAGAGCTCCCCCTTAGTGAACCAAGATGGATTTTTCGGAGAGTGTGACGGTCCCCGTGGCAGTCGTCCGGCAAGGTCGCCCGCACAACAGGCATCCCTACTTCAGCCAAGGTGTATTGGTCGTGAAACCTGTCGTGAGGTCTCAAGATTAGCACTGTTGAATAATCAGGAAGCATGAAAGCGCAGTATTCCGCGATTGTTGTGTCTTTACAAGGCGTAAAAAAGTGAAAATAGCATTCCAACAAGTCCAGTGACTTGGCCTGGGGACGCTTTGCAAGCTTCCATAGGAATGTCTTTGGGTATTTCCCACTGGAGTCGTCAGGCTTCCAACTTCTAACGAAAAGCCTTCCGAGTTTAGCCACGTCTTGGTCCTTATTCAGTTCATAGCGACGAGGCTTCAAGTTTGAGCTGTATCCTGAGTTGGTGACGGATCCAAGAAGCATGCCTCGGATAGTGATGGCCCCGGAGCTAGCGGGGACTATGGTGTCAAGTCCAAGACTCTGTCTCCTTAACAACATGAACTCCAAAAGATTCCGGGCTTCTAGTCCAGCTCTGGCAAGACTGTTCCATTGTGGGACCCAAGAGGGAAGGCTTGGGAAGCTGTTCAGAGCCAAGCGTGGAGCGAGCATCAACACACCCCACAAGAATCCATTCTTGGAGAGATAAGCCGCTATTCCAGTATAGACGTGCTCAATAGACAAGCCGTAGTCTGTCCTTAGCCGTTCCTCGTCGCTAGGATATAGAAGGCTAAAAAGTGCAAAGATCCTGTCGCGGTCGTCTTTGCAATCGCACAATGCAGTATCAAAGATTAACCTGAGAATATGCTGTGCTTGTGAGTTTGTATCGGGCTCGAGTATCTTGCTGACTGTCTGTTTCGAATGTCGGAGCCATGGAGGAGTGACTCTGGACTGCACGATTGCTTCCAAAGGTTTCCCTGCGAACTTTGAGACATAAGTTGTGGCAGGCCCGCAGTGAAACTCGATGGTCTGTGCCAGTGCCACTTCCTGCACTATCCACATACGTCGAAAATATGGTCGTTCAAAAAGGCGCTTGAGACTTATTATCTGGGGCTGATCAAGCCGAAGGAACTCCTGTAGTCGATCAGGTTGACCAAGCAATGACATCGCTATGTCACTTGAGCTGTCCTCCTCCGTTGACGCTCGGCCGAGGTATACCAGCACTGTGAAGGCCTTGGCATAAATATCCTTCATCAGATCGACTTGATGAGATCTCTCTTCTGCATCATCCTGATTGACACAGATTGAGTCTACCCAGATGGTTCGATCTGTTGTCGGTTTTCGTACGCTATACAGAGCTTTCGCGCAGTTCGATGTCAGATTCAGATAGTGCTTAGTGCCCGAGAGAAACAAAGCTGCGAGAACATCATCTTCGCCAATATGGTCGGAAGGTTGAACTGAATCGTAATCCTCCCAAGTGTAGGACAATGGCTCGTACACATGGTGATCTGAGAGGTGCACTTTGCGCAACGATCCTTCTAAGGGCATCTCACGAGTGCCTTTCTTCAGGTCCAAGAGTCGAATCTCGTTCCCTGTCAATGTTTGGGCGTGTCCAAGAACTTCGCGTGGGACTGCATTGTATTTCGTTCCCGGCTTCTGACTACCTGTGTCCGTGGAGGTGGTTTCGCTCTCAATAGTGGGGCTGCTGGGCATAGATCTGGCTATATCGACATGGTACTTGACACAATGAGGCCAAGATAGATCCAAGCTTTTCAATGATTGGGACTCGTGCTTTGTCATGATCGTCTAGAATGGGGTGGGAGAGTAACAACAACTAAGTTCCGTTGGTCATGAACTGCGTGGATAATGGACCGTGGCGATGTTGCAACTGGAACTGGAGCGGAGAGATTGTGGAACTTGGAAGATGACGAGTATACACCTTTTTAGGGTACAGTTCACGATGGACGGACGATCTTTGTGGAAAAGCAGAGTCGCTTTGAGACATAGTTCAGTGTCATCGCCAGGCTGCAACGTGGACCAATGACAGAAAGAAAAATTCTCACCGGCCTGCATGCTGCTGGTACGGTAGAGGAGGCTTAGATTTGTCCACTTGTGCATAATGTGACGTGCCTTTGTGTTACCCAAAGCAATACATTATCGCTAGTTGAGGCTGTGGGTAGTAAGCGGCCAGGTTGGGAGAAGCCACAGCTGCCAGTGTGGGGGTGGAACCTGTCCCTTTCAGGGTCTTACCCTGACTGGGTAACAAAATTGGGTTACCAACTGCCTCCTTCAGTGTTTTGCGAATCCGAGAATGCATGAGGTGTAAAACGACTGTGAGCCATCGATGCATTCACATCACCACCACAAATGGACCTCCCCAAGCTCAGTGACACCCCGACCCGCCATCCATATTTCTGCCTCAGCATCTCCACCAAACTCATCAACACACTCACAAGCATCCTGATCACCAATGGCCCAAACAGCAACAACAACCTCATCCTCTCAGTCGGCAGCGGCAGCGGCCTCTTAGAGGCCCACCTCCTGAAGCACCTCACTTCTCTCCCCGAATCCACATCCACGTTCACAATCCAAGGCGTGGAAGTCCGCTCGCCCCCAGCTACAGCCCCCGTGAACAAATACCTCCCCGAGCAACACTCCGCCACCGTCAGGGGCACATGGGAGCTGTCCCCACTCCTCGACGCAGCCGACGCGCTGCTCTTCGTCTACCCTCGCGAACCGGGCCTGGTCACCCGATATCTGGCGGCGCGGCCGACGTCGCTGCGGGTCGTGCTCTGGCTTGGGCCGCGTGCGGACTGGGAGGTCTTTGGGGGCTGCTTTCAAGGCTTGGAAGGGTTTGGGGACGTTGACATCATCGAGGGCGGGAGTGCTGGCGTTGCTGAGTTCGAGATGATTGCTGTTGTGCGGAGTTGTTGACGGGCGATGGCTGGTTGCGGTTGAATTCATCGCCTGGACTCTGGGAGATGAGGGACGGCTCTCGGACTTGTTGGGCTGGATTTCGCCCGGTCCATATGACCGGTGAAAGCTGCACACGCGCAGTCCAAGCTCTGTAATAGGTACGAACCTCGTTCGTTTAGCTCTCACCTGCCAATCATCGACGCCTCAGTGAGCCACCTAGGTTGAACAGTGGGATTTGATACATCCAAGGTGTCGAGCTGTGAACGAGGCTGCCAGAGTTTGCCGATGGAAACATCGCGGGCGGGCGTCGCCGATCCTGGAAACGCCTTCGACATGGTCGGCAAGCCTTTGAAGGACATGGTGCTGATACAGCAATACGACGCGGTCACTAAGGAGCGCGGGGGCGGTTGTGATTATGGCGGAACAAGTGCTGAAAGGTGTATGTATAACGCACATGACATCAACAATTGCAAATTCCGATTGGAAGACACCCCAAAGCCGTCGAGATGGGTTCGACGGGGCTTCTCCTCCCGACACCCAGTCTTCCGGCATCTCGACACGTTCGACGAGCTTCGGACCAGTGCTCAGACGTGTCGCCTATGCCGCCTCTTCCTCGACGATTTCGGCTCCGGTGCCGATGCAGCAAATCCCGACTTCCTGTCGCATCTCGCCCTGTACGAAACCTTCCTGCACTCGCCTTGCGCGTTTGTTGCCACCTGGAAGTCCTCTAAATCCGCCTTCTGGTACAAGGGACAGTGGGAGCCGCATGAATTCCGCATCGTGCAGAACCGTCCCTACGACTCGAGCTCCGCGGGCCGTCTGCAGGAGTATGAGGTCGGGGGGAGGAGGCTCACATTCGACCGCGCCGTTCCGGAAAGTGCCCGGAGCCGAGATCCGTTTGATACGGCCCGCCATTGGCTCAAGGATTGTACTGGAAGCCATTCGTCTTGTGCTCGTCTGCCTAGCAAGCTGCCGACGAGGGTCGTTGAAATTGGTGTTTCATCTCATAACGTTCCTAGGATCCACGTCTCAAACGGCGAAACAACGCCCTACGTGGCATTGAGTCACTGCTGAGGAGATAACATCCCCTGCAAAACTACCAATGCATTGCTACAGGAGTATACGTTGATAGGGCTGCCGGTGGACAGGCTTCCCCAAAACTTCTTGGACGCTATCTCTGTCACTAGAGAGTTGGGCCTTCGTTACGTTTGGTGAGTCCCAGCCATGGAGACCTCACGCTTCGCAGCCGACTGCTGATTTTAAAATTTGATATTTGTGTGCTCAGGATTGACGCGATATGTATCATCCAAGACTCCCCCGAGGACTGGTTCGCGGAAGCTGCCAAGATGGCTTCTTACTACAGCGGAGCCGTCGTCACCATTTCCGTGCTGGACGCCGTCAAGAGTACCGAGGGCTTCCTTGACTCCCCGCGTCGGACCCACGTCGAATTAGGCTCCGAATTCTCCGTATGCAAAGATCCTCTCAAAGTCGTGGATGTAATGCAGCGATCCGCCCTGGACTCCCGAGGCTGGTGCCTGCAGGAAAGACTATTATCTCCCGCCCTTCTGCACTTTGGCCGCGAGCAGATGGTATGGGAGTGACAGCAGGCTATCTACACGGAAGTAAGTGGTGAGGTCGGGATCGAGAACAGTAACAGGCCGGACGGAGCATTCGGCTTGTCTAAACAAGACTTTGTGTCCTCGCGGAAGAAGTTCAGTGGTCCGAGTCGTTCGGCCGCGGACTTCCATGATTGGTATGCCGTGGTTGAGGACTTCAGCAGCCGTGACCTCACAGTCAAAACGGACAAGTTTCCTGCTATTGCCGGAGTGGCCTACCAATTCCGATCCCTCGACCCCAGAGGTGCCTATGTCGCCGGGCTTTGGGAGGAGGATTTGGTCGTCGGGCTATTCTGGGGTGCTCGGCCGATTCGGCACATTGGGTCCCAACAGAGCCCGTTGGCATCATCTTTTTCGGTGTTGAAGAAGACAGCGGAGCCCCAGGCTCCAAGCTGGAGCTGGGCGAATGTCGACGGGCCGATTGAGTTCAGATTCAAGGCCCGTGAAGGAATTGATTGCGGAGCGTACGAGGTTCTGGCAGTTAACATGCACAACGGTTATGACGATCCCATGGAGGCCAAGGCCCGAGGAGGGCTGAGGATCCGAGCCTTCCTCGCTCGTGTGCAGTACAACCCATCTAGTGTCGAGATCGACATTGGTCCCCAGGCGACACGCATGCGCGATACCCGATTTGCCCTAGACTTTGAGCGAGATCACGCTCACGGGTACTGGATGTTGTCAACCAGCGTCCTGGGAGCGGACGGCAAAGTGCCGGGAGTACTTTTGCTCGAGGAGGTTCCCGGTCACAAGGCGCATTTCCGCCGTGTTGGGCATGGAATTGCCTACCGGCCCATCAAGGAGGACGAAGCCGCGCACTTTGACTTGGTTGATTTGGTGCTGATTTGAGCGAATCTGGCAATCCCTGAGAACCATGAGAATGCATGAAGTGTACTAGGCTCGGCATATTCTTTTGAGGGAATCTGATAGCCTGAGGTAATGTGGAAGAATAAGTTTACACCTGAGAATCTCCAAGCCTGCAGATTCCCAAAGCTACTTAACGCCTCGCAAGTCGAATCCCATACTTGTTCGGCTCCTTGAAGTTTAAGGATAGCTCCACCCCACTGTCCCTGGACCAAGCCCAGACCCGACTCCTCTTTTCTTCGAGAGTCTCGCCCTCGTGAATGGGGAGACATTCGATCCGGTAGAACCGGAGCACGCAGGCCAATACCGCCACGAACTCCACCTGCGAGAACTTCTTCCCCGGGCAGTCGCGCTGGCCGAGTGACCACGGGAAGAACGTTTCCTTGGCCACCGGGGGCTGTGCAAGCTCCTCGCCCTCGCCCTCGGCACCACCACTATCTGAGGCCGTGATCCACCGGGCCGGCCTGAATTCTTTACTGTCGGGCCCCCAGTACTCGGGCATGACGTGCACGGAGACGGCCGACGCGAACACCTCGCTGCCGGCTGGCACAAAGACGGTGCGGCCGTCGACGGGGATCTCGGCGCCCTCGCCCAGGACGTCTTTCTGGTGGTCGGGAACTCCGGGGAACAGGCGCAGCATCTCGTACTGGCATAGTGACAGATGGTTAGCTTAGTCGACTGCGATATTCACGGCATTCTCTTTTGGCTCTACTCGCCAAAGAGGGCGGCCACTGGGAACACTTACAAATACAGCTCTGCACCGCTTTAGCCTCGGGAAGCTTTCGTAGTCCCAGGTCAATGGGTCAGATGAGTCCTGAAAATTCATGTCCAGTTCCTGCTGCGTCCATTGCTGCCATTGTGGCTCGACTGAGAGAATGTTGAATGTGTATAGAAGGGTATGCTATAATTCAGGAAGCCCGGATATTAGCACATGTTTTCGATGACATGTAATGGGGCCAAGGCTGGTTCAGGCTTCAGTAAGGCGAATGCGGATCGTCACTCACCGCAGTTGTTTCGAGGCCTCCGATATGGTACGCAAAGATGTTGGAGAGCAGCTCCTCATCCGACATACCGCCCAGGTGCATGCCCGGCATGTTAGCCATGCCCTGCTTCCCGCCGGCCTCCAGCTCCCTCTGCATGTCCTCGGACCTCGCTATCATCGCATTCAGGAAAATGGAGTCCGTCGCCTCCCCGGAAGCCACCTCAGCCTTACGCTCCGCGACGAGCCGGCGCATGAGGCCGCGGTACTTCTTCGCCCGCAGGACGTGGTCGCGCACGAACCCCGGGACCAGGTGGTTCAGCAGCTTTGAGTCCTCGGGGGCGTCATACAGCCACCGCGGCGTCAGGGCGAGCGTCCGGACGCTGGTCAGAATCGGGAGCAATGTCGCCCGCCATTCTGTCGAGAAAGAGCCGACGCCGTCCTTGCTCGTTTTTCCTGTCCCTACGAAAGGCCACGAGTGGCCCAGGCCGGCGGAGGCGAGGACGTTGAGCGCGAGTGCCATCGTATCTCCGTTTGCATCTTCGATTCCTTCCTTATCCTGGTGTCGTTATCAATTAGCACATCGCTAAATTTTGACAGTCTGGACAGGTCTTTTTGGTGCCTGGTGAAGACCAATGACATAAGATAGTGGCATCAATCTCGTAAGGATAATACTTACAGAGATCCACCAGTCGCAGAGCCCAACTGCCTGTCGCAGCGACGCAAACCAGACTCGCTGCATGTTCTGCTCGTTGAACGGAGGAGCAGTGATACGCCGGTGTCGTTGCCAGTCAGCGCCGGTCACAGACGTCTAGAAACGAGCTTTCGGTCAGCCATCGGTTTGCTACGCGGGAATGGCGGGCATAATTCCCGGCAGTAATGCTTCTTGCAAATAGTTCCAACACCCGAGCCTCGACGACCACCCGCCGCCCTGAGGCAAGTCGCTTGAGGAGCTTCCCAAGATTTTTGAAGATGTAAGATCAGGAATGTTGGATACAGTATTGACTTACAATGCTAGGGTTCAGCAAAGTGATGGGCATGGAGTCCGGCGCCTTTTCGAAGGATTTTCTCTTTGAGTAGATGAACCTGATAACGCTCAGGTCTGCTGTGCGTATCTGTGTGCGGAGGGGTCAGCAGTCATGTCTCACCAACAATGCCCCGTGTGGGTTTCAAGACGGGTTGTTATGTGAGGGACTACGTACTTCAAGCTTCTTGGGCGTCACATGGACAAAAGTCTTGCCGTACTCTTGATGCATGGCACTGAGTTTACAAGAATTAGCCAATGAAATGATGCTGGACAAAAGCATCTGAACATCGTCCTAGCCCCTAATCGTGGGATATACTAACTCTTGGTCATCCCAAATCCACGCAACTCGATCTTACAGCAACATCAACCATGTTAGCACCGTGCAAACAGAGTGACTGCAGTACATATGGAGCAAGTGTTTTAACCACTGGATTCAAAGCGAGACTCACTGTACCTAACCCACTTGCACAGACCGAAGGGGAATTTTAGAAGCGCTGAGCCCATAGTAGGCTGCAACATCAACCATATTGGATTTGTTGTATGTACGGGGCTCACAACAATGGGCAGCCCCATCCGCCGGGCGATCTTGTAGTTTTTTGCGAAGCCAACTGCGCTGCTAATGGTCCACCAAAGGGGCACCAGGACCAGTGCGTAAGCCCAAAGAATCCACATCATGAAGGATGAAGTAGCTGCTTGTGAGAAGAATTTTAGCTGCGGCAGCTAGTAGGCGGTCTGCTCAACGCGGGATCCCGGTTTACTTTTTCCAGGGAGCAGTCTTTCGGGCACATTACAACATGGTCTGCCGTAGTTAAGTACCAAGATTAAGCAGGCACATTAGATGCCGGCACAACGAATGGGACCCCCTGTATTTGCAACACCGAGTACCCGAGAGCAGCAGTCCGGATACTACGGACCGTTCAAAGTAGGAGTTCAGGGTCCACCGTATTAAATGCAGGTGCTCAGGGATATAGCCGAAGAAAGTATGTTGCCTACATTACACCTTCCCAGCAGGCGAAAATTCTCCACATGTTATCAGCCCACATTCCCCACATATTACCGAGGGCCCCACGGACAATGAAGTATCCAAGGTAGCTGGAATAAATCACAACATAGTATTATCTTCAATATTTGAACGTCCTGTATGTGCGTGGCTAAGCCTGCAGCCTAGCTATAGTATTCTTCTGATTCTATCTCGGGTTTAATGTTGTGTTCGGTGGTTCTGAGATCTAGAAAATGTGGTCTTAGATGAGGCTGATGAGCTCGGGAGTGTGGAAAGATAGTAAGGACTCACAGCGGACATGAGAGTGAGCAAGGCTACCACGCATCTGTCCTTGCATCCGAGAGAGTTCGAGCAGTGACTCAGGGCTTCGCCGCATTGGCGAGCCGACGGTGACTCCTTGGCGGGCGTACACAGAACTTTGGTTCTTTGAGTTTGGGCCATCAGCAGCGGCTAGCTGTACCTCTATGAGTTGATTTCCGATTGCATTGGGATCAAGATCGGTCAGCTAGTGCTCGAGCTGGACATTGTTTACCGCTCAGTCGCCTGAAACTTGCTGCTGGTGAGTGTCGCTTCAGCTGTCAGTGGTCGGCTCAGCTACATACATCCCCTTCACTGTGCAAGGCCCTTTGGGTTTCGAAGATCGATCTGGATGCTTCCTTTAGCTCCTTGCTGTTGAGACCTTTGCTCATATATGAATGATACAGGTTGCCTCAAATATAACGAAGCATGGCGAAAGGTCTCTCAAGGTCGATCATCTCTCCACGAAATGGCCTGATTTGTGGTAATTTCCACTCAGCTGTCACAGATTACGTTCTCGTTGGCGACTTGATGATGATGATGATGTACAATCATGATTACGTCAGATTCCTTGTTTTGTGTTTCAAAGGCAAATTTGGAAAAGTCCTGCCAGTGTCTTAGAGGAGTCGACGAGCTTCGCAATACACACCGATTACTGCATCTACTGGGCAATCCGATACTGCCCATCCTTACCCTTTAGAACTTGACCAAAACGGAAAAGACGATACATCTTGATAGATCTAAGGAGTGTAAGACAGTTTGCAGCTGATGGAGGCGTCGTATGGAAAAGCAAGCAAGGGGGGAATTTCAGTGTGAGATAGTGTGGTTTTCGTCAAATCCCACTCACTCAAAGACTTGTCGTCACACATTGGCAAACGACAACTTCATTCATCATCGCCCACGCCTACTAGTCATAATGAGATCACTTAAAATCATCTGTGAAACTGTTTCCACTGTTATTGCCGCTCCTTGATACATCATTGCCATCGGATGTTACTATGTGACAGACCACATCGCTACGATTATTCCATGCAATGGCTCCGCCGATGGTAATGGGAAACACCCGAGTGAGATCAACTGGCATTACACGACCCAATAAGTCTACCTTCTACATATTTCAAAGCGCTAATACGGTCACAGACGTCTAGTTTGCACATCATCGGTTCAAGTATCCTACCCACACAGCCGAGATAGGTGAATTCCACCTATCACCAAAGACGGGAACACCTATGTCGCTCGGCACTGAGGTTCTCTCCACGTAGCACGTGCCTAATCTATGGTAATATCCAACTGCACATGAGTCTGCTCTTACCCGGGGGCCGTCTGCGTCCGTCCTGGAACACAATTCCTACCACTGAAGCAGTAGCTCCGGCACCCGGCACCACGCCACTCGGATTTGGGCCGGAGAGGTTGTAGCCGAGGCAACTTCCTCTCTCGGAGAACTAACAACAACTTATTATAGTCTCCTTGAATAGACAAATATAGATACTGTACTACAGTGACCTTTTGCTCTTACCTTTGGCGGAGCGGACGCCAATACGCATTGAAAAGCGAACTACGACCTACCCACTCGCTGTTAAAGATGCAGAAGTGATTGTGTGAATATGTCACTGCTATTACGGATCAATGAAGCCCGATGTATGGTTGTACGTGACGTTTCTCTATAAGCTTGAAATGCTCAACACCGTATGCGCAGGATGTTCTGGGTGTGACGCGACAAGACTGCCTTGGAATGTTTGAATTTCAATCCCGTACACCTTCCGGTGATCATCTTTGCACCTGAAAGTGACAAGCTACTCAGTCACACGAGTTTACTGCTTCAAAATCCATATGACCGTCGAGAGATGAGTTTGAGTACGTCGTGACTGGTTGGCAACAAAGTTCTTATAAAAGAATCGATAGAATCGCGTACGACTTCAGGAAAGGCCTTTTTGAATTTTTACACAGCTACAGGCCTTTCAGAAGAAGCACCACAAGCGCAAAACATAAATTCTATTGCTAGTACAGCCCCAACATTTGAGATGTCGTCCAACACGGCCAATGTGATTAAACAAAAGATCTTTATCCAATCCATTAACAAAGATGGAGCAACATACACGCTCTCAGTGGCGACAGTGACCTCAGATTGGTGGCGGCCGGAGGACACTGCGGAGGATATCGGCAGACGTGCCGCCGCTGTGATCCAGGCATGGCGCGGCCAGTTTCCTCAGGCAGCTAGAGAACTCTGCGTAAGGTATGTGAGAGATGTGCTCATGCATACAAAGCTATAAATTTCAGTGCTGACTCTAAGCTCGTGTTCCATAGGGAGACTGGGCACCGTTCCGAATCCGACCTTCGAGACCACATGACATTCGTGTGCTATGACTATAATGGCAATACTGTGGTGATTCACGTCCCCACCACACTATAGCAATCTAAATGCATGCTGTCAAGTTCTGGACATCACGAGGTCAAATCCTTCGAGTCGAGTCGCAACTAGATAAGGAAGCATGAGGGGGGGGGGTCGAGGGTCGAAGGCAATAGAACGGCTTAAGTGTGATATGGGAGTTCGGCAATCTTGCCTCTGGTCGGCATTCAGAGCAGCACGAAGATATTTCTTCTCTCAGGAGCGCGTAAATTTGAATAAAGTTAATCAGGAAGGACGCAGTTCACTAATATGGAGATAATTACATTCGCACTCAGTGGAATAGACTTTTTTGGCTACTTTCTTAGGATCCCAATACTTGAATCAATACGCAAGTGAAGACCTTTCTACATGAGTGAGGCATGAACATTACTTTAAATTGCATACGATCAATCGGCAGCTCTGTTGGAAATCCTATACTTGCCGCCCTTGAAGCTTCTGCACGAAGCAAACGCCTTCAATGGCATGGCGTGGCATTGCAAACGCTGTCACCGAACGTCTGAACTTGAAGTCTTGTTTGGCTGTTGACAAGTAGCTTGGCTACCTTGAGCTGCCCCACCTGCTCTTAAACCCACGCATGCCCTCCCTGCAGCCTTGTTCGCAAGCAGACTAGACTCATTGCCCTCCAGCTGAGACTTCCCACAAAACCCTCGCCCACCACTACACACCCACCACCACGACGAACGTCAAATCGCGTGATAGCATGGCCTCTCTTCTCCCCGTCGTCTCTTCCTGCTTCATACTCTAATGAATATCACACAGTCCTCACAGAGGACTGACTCGCCTCGCAGGGGCCCTCCTACCAAGGACGAGATCATGCAGCGCCAGGTAAGTTTTGCTATCCAGACGCACTTGCGCAAATTGACCATTGACTAAAAGTGCTGACCTCTTCCTAGAAATACGACAACCTTTCTTCCAAGGGAGGCCAAGACGCCCCCTGATTTCCGTCTTGACCCGGTGGGATATCCTTGCATCTCCCGGTCTTGCGCTGTCAAAAGCACCACCCCGGCGGAGTTGATCGTCCATGTTCTACTTTCACATCACTAGACTGCTATTTCACTGGGACTTTGAACTACATCTGGGGAAAAAGTGCAGGTACTAGCTAACGGTGTTGTCTCATCGTCTGCCGCATCACAATTCCTTAAGTTGCCTGCATCAGAGTGGACCCTGGTCAGACCGCAGCGTCCCGTGTCCTGAACATGATCACTCACCAAACCAGAAGCATTGCGGTGGCCCAGGGCTAGTGAAATGGAACAAAAAGGGGGGGAAGGGGCGTGGTCCATTGGAACAGCGCAATCGGCACCTGTCAACATTAGATACCGAAAAGCTCCACGGCTACACACGCAGGTGGTGGCGCACATTACGTAGGTATTTAACAACCATTGGCCTTTAACACTCTGATCCCTCCGGAGCTCAATTGGACAGTCACCGATTACTTGCACGTGGTGTGTCAAACTTTATCTTCTGAGAGTAAGATGGGCCTCAGTCACTCAGGGTTGATGTCTAGACCGCTGTTTCATTCTTTATTGTGTGGTAGTGATACGCTAATCTTGACCCTGGTTGGCCATCATGTCGAACCATGGCGGCTCGCTTGCGTCGCATTCGCAGAGTCATAAACATGGGATGCTTTAAGTGCGCCTGGAATTCTATCTTGTTAAACAGCCTCAGGATTCCTTGGGCTGGACTACTCACCTCCACCTCGAGTCTCCTAATGGAGACTTTGATCATGAAGAACCTCTGACCGCACTGCGTCTGCGAACCTTTCAACAGCTTCAGCCAGTTCCTTGGCCGGTGCCGTAGCAAACGTCAGGCGGAAGTAGATTTCATCTGTCGCGTCAACATCGGAACTGAACCAGCTTCCTTTGCTAACCAGGACACCGTTGTCATGGGCTCTCTTGTAGATCCTGTCCTCAATATCCGGACAGCTTGGTCGGGACTCGGCACTTTGCGGTTCCGAAAGACCCGAAGTGTCGATTTGGACCCAAAAAAACATTCCTACCTCTGGCACCTTCCATTGGCAAATGCTCGGTGGCAGATAGCGCCTGCATGCTTCTACGAAGCCGTCACGGCGGCTGCGATATTGTGCTGACAATGACCTCAACCAGCTGAAGAAGCCCTCGTGACCCCACGTCTCGTCCAGAAGTTTGTACACCATGACCTGTGACGGTCCACTGGGAGACAAAACTCCGACCTCAGAATAGCCTACGAACTTCTCGATAATCTGTGGGCGCATCCTACTACCCAGCCACACCTCAGGCCGGGGGCCAGGATCTTGGACGCGGTGTCCATACGGAGAACACGGCCAGAAGTATCCATGGAGAGGTACGAGGCGGGGAGTGACTTGATGTACTCTTCAGCTGTCTCAACTCCAACCCGCGGTTTGTTCTTCAAGCCTGAGGCGGCGTGGTGTACTTGAAGGAAGTAATAAGGGTCATCCTCAAGTATGTAAAGGTCATGTCGCTCGGCAATGTCGTATATGGCCTTTCGACGTTGCAGGCTCTGCGTCGTGCCGGTGGGATTTTGACCTGTCGGTATCATGTAGAGTACGAATGGCTTTCTCCCGCTTGCGCGACCCCAGTTCTCTAACTTCTGGTCAAGGTCTTCAGGCACCAGGCCCAGGTCGTCCATTTCGATACCAAGTGTTTTCAGGCCTTGTGCTTTTGCCGAAGACATGGTTCCAGAGTATGAGTATTTCTCAACCAGCACGGTGTCCCCGGGATTGCACAAAATGCGGAATGCGATATCGACTGCAGATGTGGTGCCGCAGGACAGGCAACACTCCCAGTCTTCGTACGGGGGGTTGTGAACCAGCTCCACGTGCTCGGTCACAAACCGCAACGCCTGGGGTGACCCTGCGCAATATCCGTAGTTTATGGCTACTATTAAGTTATAGGCTAATTTACCTTTAAAAGCCTTTATTAATAATATTAAATTTATATTATAACATTTAATAATAAGTAGGTTAGCATTTTAAAGATATTAAAATATAATAAACTCCCATGGGAAATATTTAGGAAATGGATGGGCCGTGCCTAAATTAATTAGCTTCTTTAATGCCTCGCCTTGAGAGGCTACTTTGAGTGGTGATGACTGCAGGTTCTGGCTCTCAGTGCTGAGCCGATGGTTCCAGTTAAGTGCTTTCTGCTTTGCTCCGTGGACTCTGCTCTTGTAGAAGTCTGAGAAAGCGTACGGAGCGGCTCCAGCTGGAAGAAGCCCTCTCAAGGATCGATTTTTTGGAAAGAGGGCAAGATCTTGGCTCAAAGTCATTGCGATAGTTGTTTCGAGGAGGGCAGAAAATTAAATGAGACTTGTACATGCGGACAGGACGGCATTTTAGAAGACATAAGGTTGTGACAAGATTTGTTTAAATTTGTGTCTGAGATTTGGAAAATGAAAAGGGGTGTAAGGAATTCGAGTGAGGCAGATCTGGGCTTCGCAATGTCGATAAACCTACCGTCATCGGCGTCGAGTGCATCGGCGAGTGCATCGGCGTTGAGTTCATCGGCGTGATTTCAAAGCAGAATAAACGAGGCCCACGGAGCTATCGGACAAGGCTATTACATTCGGAGTGGGTCTTGGAGGTCGGACAAAGATACAGTCACAACAGTCGGAAAGCATTTTCCGAGGCTCTGCCGGGTCTTCGACTGCTTCCCTGCAACTCTTCCTTTTGAGTCTTGCAACCGTAAGTGTCTCCCCTGGCAACACTGGCGAGCAGTTGAGATAGGGACAGCATTAAATCCGGCGAGATCCGTGTGTTAGACGATCGTCCGTGTTTTTCGCGTACAGGCGCGGGTGACAGAGGCCCGAAGCCGTGTTTTGATTACGTGACAGTCCCAGTGATGTTCTTATTTTCTGAAAATGAAGCGGCTGTTGGATTGTGGCAGATCCTATAGAAACGGCAAAATGTTCGATAATCGGTAGAAGCTAAGACTTGCTACGATTCCTTTACGTCCCTACAAAGGAGACCCTGTTGAACGAATAAGCTGTGGCTTCTTTTGAGTTCTGTAAGGTTCGTGTCATATTCATAGTCAATAGGATGTTATGAATCTATTGACCAGAGCTGTGAATTAATGAGCAGCCATTGAGTATTGAGCAAAGGGCGATGGGTGGTCGGCGAGACTCTGCCAGAAAGATATCTCAGAATCCCAAATATCTGACCCTAGAGATGCCGCCCACGTGTAATCATCCTCGAGAGGATTGGGCAGACTGGCTTCTGTGCTGTCCTTGAGCCTCTGATCCTCATTATGAATGAGATCAAGGAAGCGTTGAACGGTCTGGGCGGCTTGAGCAAGCACAGCATAATTAGGGTCCTCTGGCTTGACTGGTGCACCCCGTTCAATTTCCGCGGCCAGGACAGCCAAGTTTCGGAACACTTTAGCACGAGCTGTCTTGAGGGAGGGAATCACGGGTTGAGCCACCATTGCCAGCAAGATCATACCAGTCGCCGGCAGCCCATGGTGAGCGACCTTGGCGGAGTAAGTTTGGGCGGAGTCGGACCGGACTCGGATCGGAGGCGAGTCGGCGTAGGGAGGATGCCAACCCTTAGGAAGACACCGAGCGATTCACCGATATGTTCCAGGACTGACAAGACCCACGCACCGTTCCATTAATTGGGTAGTGCTCTGCACCTTCCATCCGCCTCATCTAGTCTGGTCTTAGTAATGGTCATTTGTGCTTAAAGGTCTGGGGGTGATTGGCGGCGTCGTGTTCTAGCGGAGCTTCGGCGTGAAAGACACTTGCATTTTCGGCGGCCACTGGTGGATGATGAAAGCCTCGGCTAAGTCCTTTGGTCTGGCATCATGGAACGTCTGCATTTTTGGCCTTCCTGGTTGGAGATCGTTACCCACACACAAATATATATACCGATGAGCCAACTGTCCGCCGTAGGGGTTTGTCGCCATCGATCACATCTATTTGCCCCGCACGCAGCGACATCTCCGTTTCCAAAATGTCTGCTTCAATAAATCTTGCCGAATATCTCTTCACTCGTCTCCGGCAACTCGGCGTCGGAGCCGTACACGGAGTGCCAGGGGACTACAATCTGGAATTACTGGATTATGTGAAACCTGCCGGGCTCGTCTGGGTCGGGAATGCGAATGAACTGAATGCCGCGTATGCCGCAGACGGTTACGCGAGAATAAAGGGCATCGGGGCACTGGTTACGACATTCGGAGTTGGCGAGCTATCTGCGATCAACGCCATCGCGGGCTCTTACGCCGAGTTCGCACCCGTCGTCCATATCGTCGGGGCCCCGCCAAGGGCATCACAGGACGGCCGCCTGCTCATTCACCATACTTTCGCGGACGGGGAGTATGGACAATTCGCGCGGATGAGCTCCCACGTCACCGTGGCCCAAACGTCATTATGGGACCCCCAGACAAGTGCACAGCAGATCGACACGGTCCTTCAAGAATGCCTCCTACACAGTCGACCGGTTTACATCCAGGTCCCCACAGACCTAGTCACTGCGAGTCTTCCCTCAGACCGGTTAAAGACACCGATCAGCACTTCGGTGGATGGGCCGGCTGCTCGCCCTGCTTGGGACGCAGTTTTGGCAAGGATTATGGACAGAATTAACACGGCTAAAACGGCTGTGATCATTGCCGACGGCGAATGCAGGCCTTTACGAATCATCGACCAAGTGCAGACAATCATTGACACCACCAAGTGGCCAACCTGGACAACTTCTTTTGGAAAGGGGCTTTTCGACGAGACACGCACGAATTTTCACGGCGTCTACGCAGGAAAATTTGACGAAGACATAGTTCAGGAGACCATAAACCAAGCCGACTTAGTCCTGTTTTTTGGGCCACACTTGTCGTCCACCAATACGTTTGGTTACACGGCAATTCCGAGCTCCCAGACCACAATCTTCATCAAGAAGAATCAAGTCGAAATCGGAGGCGAGATCTTCCGAGATGTTCCTGCTACATTCATCGCATCTCGACTTTCCCAGGACATCGACTTGAGCAAGATCACTCAGAACGAACCTTATCCTCCACTGCCTCGTGACCGGCCGGAACCGATCGACGGCCTCGCCGGCATCCAACGCCCAATCAGTCAAGATAAGCTGTGGCGTACTCTTGCAAACATCATCCGACCGGGTGATATCGTGCTAGGCGAGACCGGCACCGCTGGCTATGGCGTACGAGAAATGCCTTTGCCACCAAACACAAGAGTCTTCACCCCTGTCACTTGGCTCTCGATCGGGTTCATGCTTCCAGCTGCCCAAGGCGCAGCCATGGCTCAGCGAGAGCTGATGGCATCTTCCAAGTACCACGGCATCAAGTCAGGCGACGCCCAAACCATCCTCCTCATCGGGGATGGAAGCTTTCAGATGACAGCCCAAGAGATGGCAACGATCATCCGACATAGACTTGACGTCTTGGTGGTTTTAATCAACAACGACGGGTACACGATTGAAAGATGTATACATGGTCGCAACCAAGAGTACAATGATGTTTCTAGGTGGCGATATCTAGAGGCTCCTCGGTTCTTCGGCGCAGAGGATGAAACCTACATTGCCGCTGCTCGAACGTGGGCGGAGCTCGCTGAGGTGCTGAAGCACGACAAGGTGAAGGCATGCGGAGGACTCAGAATGGTTGAGATATTCTTGGATCGTGAAGACGCGCCAAAAGGGCCACTCCTGCATTTAATAGATAACCAGAGAAAGAAGGAAGCGACAAGCTAGTCGCTGCTTTAGGGCAGATCAATACGATAGCTAGTTATCATTCAGGTCCCTAATTAACCCCGTACTCAAACAAATTCTGCCATGGCTCAGGAAGCCAACCATCAGGGAATGATAGCTCCACATCTTGAATATTGCGGCAGCCACACGTGGATGCAGCCCAGAGAAAGCGTGCAACAATGCGGCTATCCTTGACAAGCCATCCTGCCCCTCCGTGATGTGTGAGAGCGTACTTGAGACCAGGCACCCGATATGCCACAGCGCCCCGGAGTTGAGAAGGCAGGCTAGGAGTGCGGTGGATCAAGCCAACCTGCACCAGAAATCGACGGCGGCAGATGGAGCAGTCCACACAAACCATGGTCCTCTCATCACTGCTGTGAATTACTTTGCCATGCACGTTCACTGCGGTGCAAGTGACTCGTCAGCGGATGTGTCATCTCGGAAGAGTTTTTAAGAGATACAAAGAAGGGGACAGAGAATCCATTATTATCTTACTAAAATCCATCGCGTTTGGCGAAATGTTCCCTTTGTGCGCTTCATTCAGCATGAGAAGCCGAGCAATGTAGTCTGTAGCCCTGCGCCTGCTCACCCCTGGATACTCATCATAGAGGACCTCTAGGTGCACTCGTAGCTGCGATCTGCGGTTTTCTTTGCCCAACCTCTCTCGTGCTTGTTTCAAGTCGTCGCCGAAGAACCGACAGCAGACGGTTTCTGCAAACACGTCTGGATCAGGACCAGTGACGTCGAGAACCCGCCGAACGAGCTCGTGAAAAGTCCCGAAATCCGTATTCTTCCAGAGTCTTTTAGCCATCGTCACTGTCCCGAGTGTTTCCGCTTCAAGTCTCGCCATTGTCTCGCCAGGACCGGACAGAATGATTTCTGGATATGTAGGACTTGACTCTTGCATTCCCAAGCCAAACATTCCAAACTCGTCGAATCCAGTCTCCCTTATCCCATCAGCGTCCCTTTTCCGCGGCATCAAGAATAAAGGGCTGAAGTCTCCAGCACGCAGGCGCGCTTTCGCTATGATGGACACGGACTTGCGAAGGTCGTTGTGCGGCAACTCGGAGAACTCCACCACCGGCCCAGTGAGACCAAGAAGGGCGTGGATAAAGTCGACCGGCACCGTGGCCTGCCTCCTCGAGATGAGGATAAAGCAGTGCGCAAACGGGACCGTCAAGCCGCGGAGACGCCGGGTGCGCACTGGCGACAGAGGCCCCAGCATGTGAGGCAGCACATTCCTGCCGACCCCGGCAAGCCTCACGACGTGCTCTCTGATCGTCTTCCTCACCTCGTCCTCCCAGTGCAGGACCGGCTCGTCGTAGAATGGAAGTCCTTCTCTGAAGCCTTCCAGCAGCTTGTAATCCTGCAGCATCGGCCGCAGCTGGCTGCTCTGCACGCACTCCATGGCCGTCCAGATGCGGCGGAACCACCTCGAGTTGCACACGTCGACGATCCCCCGGACACGCTCCTCGGTGGAGGGGCCATGGCGCATCGCCTGGACTGAGGACGGCGCCAGGTCCGAGAAGAAGGGCACCACGAAGTAGGCGTGGCTGTACAGCTCGGGTATGGCTTGGATGATGCGGCCTTTGCGCCCGTGGCACCATTGTGGCACGCTGACGTAGTCATGCCACACTTCCAAGAGTGGCCCCTGCTTTTCTCCCGGCCCCAAGGAGTCCAGGATGCCTGCATAGATGCGCGCAGGAACTTCAAGCACTGGACGAGCCACAGAAGCAATCTCGTCCTCGGAGTGGTTGCCGAGGGCAAGTGCTTGGGCGTACTCGTTCTGTAGCTTGGAGACCTCTGGGTGCCAGACATGGGAGACGGTGACATATCTTGTCTTGGATGAGAGGAGGCATCTAAAATGTCTGTCGAAAAGCAGGATTGTCTCGGACAACCAGGGGATTTGTATCACTGCTGTATGTCGCCTGTCTTCAGCAGTAATGGTGTGCAGGGGTTCCTTCGGTTGCAGAGCAAAGGTTCTAGACAGCGTATCGTCTTGTGTGATGGGTTCTCCACACTGGCAACACTTGAGATCTGGCGATTCGAGGTGCGCGGGATTCCAGAGTCCTTGAAGAGTGTCCATTGCGTCGCTTATGTTGCGGAATAGATTTGACGAAGACTTTGTCCTCTGATGGTCAATTCATGGAAACGCGATGAGATACTATTCTTCCTGTAGACCTCTATGTAAGAACCGAAGACGGCGGCCGGGGATGTGGCTATGCAGCTTGTGTAACCTGAGAGTGGGGCCAAAGGATTCAGGATGCAGCTTAAACACCCAAGCCTCGAGTTATCGCAATAACCACACAACACGTATGTGGGCCTGTAAGAATACCTTATAAGTCATCTACTCCGCACCTTCCTAGCATTTTTGGATTCTTACAGGGCCAAGGCTTAGGTCCCATCGAAGAGTAAATATTCCGAACACCAATCTGCCCCGAACGCAATCTAGCAAACAGGTGAAATAGACCACCAGTAATTCAGCTCCACCTAAAAGAAATGAAAATTCTAAGTCCGCTTCGACCTGGTCGTAGCCTTGCCATAGCTCGCAATCACCGACTCTCTCCAGGCCCAGACACCCGCATACGTCGCAGCCGGGCCCACAAGCACCCCCGAAGCCATAGTCAACCCTACGGCCTTGAACGCGGCGGAGGTTGTGATATACCCGGATCGCCTCAGCTCAAACACGCTGTAGAGAAGCCAGACCATGACCGAGCTGAAGCAGAGCAGCATGTCGTACTTCATGAACGCAGAGATATCGATCGCATCGAACCCGGGCAGGTTGAAAAAGGCCTGGGAAAAGGAGACGGAGGGGGTGAGAACCGCATACAGGAGTGTGCAGATGTGGGTGACGGCGGTGGCGAAGAAGCAGAAGGCGTAGCCAGATCTAAGGTAGGGTAGGTCCTTGTTCTCGAAGATTTCCAAATCGAAGCGCTTGGTTGGTCTCAGTGCATCCAGGGCCTTTGACCCCGCCCAGGCAAGCAAGGACACATAGAGAGGAGAAGGCTGCCAGAATGCGATCATGTTCTGCTGAGTGATGCTTTCCTCGTGGGGCAGGAACATGAGGACCGTGGGGACGACGTATCCGAGGCACAGTGCCGGCAGGAGGACCTTGGCGGCATTAGACGGGACGGGACGGGCGGTCGTGCGGGCGTAGACGCTTCTGCTGGTCGTGTACAAGCTGAGGAGGAAGTAGACCGGCGCGACCTTTCCGATTCCGAGGAGCTGGTAGATGGTGAAGATGGAGGGCACGGAGACCAGCGACTTGATGTTGCCGTTGCGGTAGCCCTCGACAGTCCAGATGTAGATCATGGGAATCAGGTTGACGAGGAAATAGAGGCACTGGATCCTCTTGTTGGGGTCGGGGCCTGCGACGTGCTCCGAAAAGGCCCACGCCAGTAGGGAAAGAAGGTTGTCGATCGGTTTCACTCCGGTATATGTGCTCTTCACGTCCTCTCCTAGGAACGAAAGCCTCTGAGGGACTGTACCTGGACCAAAAACAAGCGTTTGTTGCGCAATGTAGAGCAGACCATATAGCGAGGCTGCAACTGCGATCTTGGGCAAGTAAGACGACGTCAAGGGAGCGCTGGCCAGCTCGTCATTGAACGGGATAGCATGGGGACGCTTCGGAGCATCCAATATGTCGAGCCTGTGAGCCCCTTCAATGTTCTTGGACCACTGGTCCCATTTTTCGTCGATCGACTGGATTGGCGCAATGTATTTACTGACGAGCTCCAGGATAGGTGTATCCATGGCGGCGAAGCGTTGCTCCTCATGGGATGCCTTGACGAGTGTCTTGGTCCGCGCCTCTCGTGTAGCTTGAGTCTTGGCGAAGACGGCGTTGATGTCGGCCGTGGTGATGTCAGACGGGCTCGTCTTGCTCTTGAGCATGGTTGCGAGGTTTGAGACGAGGACAGCGGCAGTTTCTATGGCGCTGTTGCCTCCCTGGCCGGCGATTGGCTCGAGCTAGAAGCATGTGTTATGCGGTGTTTTTGGATGAAGTGGACATGAATAACTAACCTTGTGTGCGGCATCACCAATGGTCATGATGCGTCGGAAATGCCACTTCTTGAAGACATACTCAGGGAGAGGGGTAAGCACAGATGAGATCTTGGTCGAGTACAAGTCTCTGAAGGTGCGATTTTCCCCGATCTTGTCATTCAAATGCTCATTCGCTAACGCCTCTTCATCTTCCTTTGTGAAACGTGGAGGCTCAGGACCGTAGTAAGTCTTGTCCATTTTGACAAACAGGAACCAGTAGACGCGGTTTTTGGGTCCGCTGATGAAGAGATAAGAGTGGCCCTTGTTCAAGGTTGTCTGCACAAGCTTAGGCTTCCAGCTCTTGTCAATGGAAATGCCGAAGATGCACTTGTAAACTGTGGGAAGACATTCTGTTTCATCTGTCAGTTACTATGCGAACCGAACTCTCCAAGGGCAGACTCACCTTTGTGCTCTGAAGCCGGGATGTAGCCAGGCTCAAGGGCATCGGCAATCCGCCACATCTCATTTCTAACGTTGCTGTGGACACCATCCGCGCCGACTAGGATATCTCCGTAGTAAGAACTTCCATCCCCCGTCACTACCTTCACTCGGGAAGACTCAAGCTCGACCTTGGTCACCTTTTTGCTGACAAGAACATTGTCCTGATGCTTAAGGTTGCGCCACAACGCCGCAAGAATCATTTGGCGGTCCACGAAAACGGTATCATACCCGTGCCTTTGGAAATGTCAGCACCTGTAGGGAAATATGCTCGCTCCAAAGTTGTGGTTTTACTTACCTTTCATTCACCTGGTCTCCGAAGCCGAGATAGGTGGAAATTGGAAGGCCGTCGCGGGAGCGAAGAGTTGACTCAAAAAGAGGCGCATCAATGAGGTCCCTGATTTCGTCGTACAGACCTATCTGGTCCAGAACACGGGAGCCGTTTGGCAGAATGCCGATACTGGCTCCTACTTGAGGGGCCATCTCGCGATATCCTTCAAGGACCAAGTAATCGACGCCGACTTTCTCGAGCATGTTTGCCAGCGTCAAGCCGGCTATACCACCGCCGGCGATGAGAACGGTAAAAGGCTTTTTTGACATGGTCGCTATGCCAACAATGGGATGGCCAAATATGTCGAGAGACGGTATTAAATGTTGGGTGAGGCCACAAAATGTGACCGTGAAGGGTTCTAGTTCGTCTTTACAAATCGGAAGCTAGAGGCACCAAGATGGTTGCGGGATGAAGATTTGGAACAGGATTGTCGGACTTAAATGTCAAACGGACGGCTACGAGATTTCCCGGTCTTCCATCGGACATGTTGGTCAATGTCCGACCTTCCGTCGGACGAAATGGCTCTTGGTTCTACGCTTCATAGATTTTGCACTGGGCTTTGGCTGGTGGAGAATGCGTGATATATGATGCCCCATGCGTGGTTAAAAGAGTTGCAACTTACCAAGAGATGCAGAGTTCGTGACCAATCAGAAAGCGGGAAAGAAGTCCCACGAAGACAGAGTTCAACACGGGATTGGCAGACCCAGCAGAGACCTCGTGGCATTTCAAGCTTGGGTAACGAGGTCTATCTCGAGACGCGTCAAAGTCGACGAAAATGGGCCCACTCGGACTTTTGTGTGCCCCGTCTGGGTGTGCCATGCGTGCCCCCACGTTCGCTTCCGGAAAGACTGACCAGGCCGAGATGGGGATTCCGGCAGTTGGCCAGAGCCTATTTGAACCTTCTGAGCCCCATGAAAGGGATCTCGGCTCCAGCAAGGGCCGAGTTGTTGATCAATTCTTAGATATGGGCCGTATATTTGTTTTCAGAGGCGGTCACTCCCTGCTCTATCGAGTACCAGCTGCGAATAGCTTAACTAGACGCGCCTGTCATCATCGTGGGACGGTGATATCAAGCAAGCTTGTAATGGACGAAAAAGCTGCTGAGCGTTAGTTTGTTTCAGAGCGGTCTGCGCAGCTAGAGTGGATACGCGGCAGGAATAGGGATGCCACTTTCCTCTGCGCCTCTGTCGATCCCTGCCGGTTCGGGAACGGGAAGGACACCGGATATCCTTCCCGGTCGGGGCCGACGAGACCACCGATAAAATGTGGGCCTTAATAAGGAAGACGGACACCGTTATTACGGGCACGGCGTCCGCCGTGTGTTCATCTCTCATCAAATTTTTCCTCCCATTACTTCATAGCTCTGTATGACCTCATCGATACTGAGAAAAACCATCTGCGACAAGTACCTGTCTTGTCGAAGTTCAAAGTTGCAGGGGGCCTTCTGGATCGAAATACTCGACAAGAACACTGGAATTAATTAATCACCGCTTCGATCACACTTTTAATCTTCACTCACCCACGTGAAGCCTGAGAGGATCACAACAGCCACGTTAATGCCATCTACAAAGTGTTCCGGGCGGGTCAGCTATTTTATCCCGTTAATTTAGCATTGTCGCGCTGGTTTGTGTCGATTAGGATGACATGGTTTATGCGATCTTTCTGTCAGCACAGAGGGTCAGCGCTGCGGTCAGACCCGGTCAGCCAAGTCAGCCGCACCATGACACTACCATTGCGTGTCGGCGCTGGATCTTATGCAACTGAATGGCGAAGTGTCTGTAATATTCTTATAAGGGCCGCATAGCACCCCGTTAGCAATTTCAAGACGCCTCAAGAATACAAGTGAAGGAGGACGTGGTCATGCACATGCACGCATGACGGGGACGTGGCAACTAATACGGTTAATCATAATTACTCTTCATCTGAATGCTTCCTGTCATCTTTCATGGATTATCCAAATATTCAGAAATCTCGTCTTCAATGCTCGTTGGAGACTGATACGAGCCTAAGCGGTCCCAATGAAGCCGGAGCTGAACCAAACAATACACGATTCTGCAGGATTTGAGCTGAGTTTTAGGGCCAGAAATGCAACGCATCTGGAAAGTCGGGGGCCCGAGGTGGACACCGCCCTGTGGGCCTTGACTGCCGTATCTTGCCTTTTACTTTCTCTGAGGATTTACTGCAAGTCATACAAGCACAAAGACTTGTGGTGGGATGATTGGATCTTGATCCTATCATGGGTGAGGAATTCACAGTATCAGAGTTGGGTCCCAATCACTGATTTTCACGTTAAAGGTCCTCCTCCTTGCCAACTCGATCGTCATGGCTCTCAGTGTCAGCCTCGGCTTCGGTATGCATCTGCTGGAAATCGACTTTAGCAATCGCGAGAAACTGTTGTTGCTTGGTTCATTGAGTACAACGTTCAGCACCCTCTCCGCTGTGCTGTCAAAGACATCGTTCGGCCTGACATTGCTCCGTCTAACACAAGTCGGCTACGAGAAGACTCGAGCTTTCGTCTGGGTTATCATGGTTTCGATGAACATACTTATGTTTTGTGATGCCTTTTATTCATGGGTCGAATGCCAGCCGTCTCGAAAGCACTGGGAAATATCCACCGACGGCACCTGCTGGAGTCCTGACATTGCTGTCAATTTGGGCATTGCCGCCGGCGCATATTCAGGCTGCATGGATATTATCATGGCCATCCTTCCATGGAGAATAATCTGGGAAACCAGAATGGAGCGGAAAGAAAAAGTCGGTGTTCTGGTCGCGATGAGCATGGGGCTGTGCGCTGGAGCCGCGGCTTTCGCCAAGTGCTCCCAGATACCACAGATTTCAATGTTTGATGAGACTTGTATGTCATGTGCACGGTGTTCTGGACCAAGTTCGAGAGCGTTGTACTGATGCTTTTGCAGACACAGGAGCCAGCCTCGTCATTTTGGGAGCTGCCGAGCCTGCCATCACCATCGTTGGAGCTTCCATCCCAGCACTTCGGGTGCTCCTGACAGATTTCAAGCATTTCACGCAGCGGCGCGCCTCTGACCAGTCTGAATCACAAGGGTCGAATTTCGACTTTTGGGATGATGGTTCCAGACAAAGCCGGCGGTCGTTGTTTAAATGGGACATTTTTGGAAGCGCAAAGTCCGTCGAGCCTACGAACGCAACCGGGACAACCTCGACTATAAGCTGCAGCGATAACACGACTCTTACTCCTCCGGTCGGCCTTGCTGCCGATTTCTGGGTGTCTGGATCTGTTCAAAGCCTTCCAAAATTCAATTGTGAAATGTTTGGTACCTGTGGGACTGGCGGGACAGGGTATTCAACACCGAAAACGTCATTGTCAGTCCCAACACCGACTCGTCCGGCACCAAGCCACAACTATCCAAACCTGAGCCAGCAGCTTGAAGACTTCCTGTGGAGCCGGAAGAACAGCTGCGCCGGTACGCTTAGCGAATCAATATATGACGGCGACTCTAATCCCGTAGTCAACACTGTATCGATGAAGGATGATAAATCCAGAGACATCAAGCAGCGCTTCCTTGGTCAAAAAATGAATTCCACCAGTGCTATGAAGGTGGTCAGCAAGGATGAGCGGGATACTTGGAGCCTCAGCAGCGTCATGGAGGATGGAAATGGCTGCAAGGGGCCTCTTGTACTGCATAGTGGTGCTCCTGGTCAGTTTGTTGTTGTCCAGACGACCGAGATCACGGTTGAGTTCGAGTGAGTGAGTCCTAATAATCAAGACTTGGGCATGATTTGCATCTAAAATGCCACTCGTTCTGTTTATCACAGGCCAACGAGGTGCTTGATGTAAGGACGACAAACTGCCGAACCGTAAAGACGAATTGGAGAGGAACTTGAAATTCAATATGAGCCACTTCCAAGACTTCCACTTTCTAAAACGCCCCACTGCCATGTAGCAAAAATTGATCACAACAGGAGGCCTGCTACCTTCTGCGTAGTCTATAGTCACGACCGCGCTCGCGCACACGCAGCACAAGGTCTTCGGAGATTTTCCGCTGGTCCTCCTGACTGTTCAAGATCAAACCGACACCCTGTTCCACCTCCTCGTAGCGCGAAGGAATGCAGATCTTCACAAAAGCCAGGACAAGCATGGTCTCAGCCGCAGCCTCCGATGCGAGCGAGTTGCCTTCGACGGGGAAAATCGCTGCGATGCGGGCGGCGAGCCATTCCCGTGTCCCATGTGTGAAATTGGCTGCTACACGGTTTCGGAGATCAGCGGACAGGGCGTACGTCCCATCGGCAGACAGCGATGCTGCTATCTGGGGCCATATTCGTTGCGCTTCGTGGGAGTCCTGGCTACCAGGTGCTTGTTGGCTTGGGCCAAAGCTCTCTTTTCGCTGGGCGGCGAAGAAGGCATCGGCATAGTATTGACTCTGATCACTGGAGGCATTGGGGTATGAGGACGCATATGCGGACACATATGCGGAGATTGGAGCTGTGTACATCGCGGCCATCCCCGGATAGGGTGCTTGTGGCTGATACTGCCCCACACTGGACATAGGAGACCACGCGGCCGTTGATGGAGTGGTATAAGAAGACTGTGCGGCTGTGTTGTGCCGATAAGTGGCATAGTCTTGTCTAGTACGACGGTCGTGCGGAGACGTTCGTGAATTATAGTTGCGTCTCTCCTGTTCCCAGCGGGCGGAATCTGCTTTGAGGTCGGCTATCATGGCAGAGGTGAGGTCTCTGTAGGCCGTGATGAAGTAGCCTTGCATGGCGCGACCATCCTTCTTGTTTTCATACGTCCTTGGCCTCACTAAGGCATCGTTGCCGAGATATCGAGTAATGTCTGCCGTGATGACCTCGCGATCAATACCATCACGAGGAACGAAGTACTCGTTGTGTCGATTGGGTGGTGCATCAGTGGTATTGGCCTCGCGCGAAGGCTTCTGGTCCATCGCCGGGTAGCTCGGCTCAGCACTTGCGCAGGGGTTGACCTCTACATGGGAGAGGTCCTCGGCGAGACATCCCCCATAATAGCGTGGCTTGACTTTCGGCTCACTAGGCTTCTGAGAAGCCTGAGGCGTCCAGTTCACGGCAGGTTTCTCGGGGGGGAACAAGTGGGTTGGAAGAGTAAGCCTGGATAATTGGTCGTCGTACGGCCGAGGCCCGTTGAAATCAACATCATCGTCGCTTTCACTGATCGAGTCCGCCGCAACTTTGCTGATCCACTGATTGCATACCGAATACATTTGGCCGAGGCGCTCGGCGCTCGTGATAAGGCTTGACAAGTCGAATGACCGGCCTGTGGAATAGAATTGCGAATGGTCTTGCGAAATCCTTGCGGCATGCAAGTCTCGAAGGATGGGGCTCACACATAGTTTTTGCAAAATGCCGTCTGCCTTGTTCGTTCTGTTCACCTCTAGAGTCGTTGTTCTCACTGAATGGCTTCCGCTCGTGCGTAGTGCGGTGATACGTACCGAGTCAAGAGAGTATTAAGTGGAACCTTTAAAATCCAGCAAAAAGAACACCGAATAGCTCTGAAGATGTCACGGTGAGATTCTTGAGATTATTTTTGGGCTCTGGACGAACTTGTACGTGCTGGGTGATGAATTTGCGCCGTGATGTGGGACCTTTTTCAAGTTCATTTCGCCAAGGTCGGAGCTGCAAGACTTCCACAGATGATTCAGCTCAAAATCGACTCACCACTCTATGTCTTGTTCGCCATTGAAAGGGTCGCATGGGCGGATGGTTATTATGAGCACAGCATGCCGGAATCTGTTGGTGGCAGATAGTAAATCGGCGTTTCTCCGGGCCTTGCTCGATGTTCTGATGACTAGCTCGAAGTCTTTGCCGAGTACTGTGTGACTTCCTGACAACTTGACAGTTGCCTGATTTGGTTGTTCAAGACTGGAGGATGCGGTTCTGCGGCGAAAGGAAGTAAAGTTTTCAACCTCTTTGGCAGCACTCACAACTCCCATTGAGAGCGATCTTGGTATTCTCTGAACATGACGACCGAATGGAAGGCGACAAAGCCGGACAATTAATGATCAATTCACCTCTGGCGTTCGACGCTATGCGCTCCGCATATTTGACCACGATCGTTACTTGGACATCAGGTGGTATACGACCGAGATTTGCCTGATAGATGCCTAGCTCCACCTCTTTGAGTATGGCAGCAGGCGTCTTGCTGCGCATAGCTTTGTTGTACAACTTTCGGGCCTGCTTCGATGGTCTCGTCTCATCCTCGATAGCGTAGTTGTCTCCGGTCTCAAGCTTGAACGAAGTGACTGCTGCTTCAATCGGGAGTCTGAAATAACAGTATGAGTCCGTATCCCGAGACTGCTCAATGCTTCGGAACTTCTGAGCAGTACGCGTATGAGCAATAAAGTCCTTGATTTGCATATCAATGATCATAGTTGACAGTCGCAGGCACCGTATATCGCCGACTCCTGCCTCCCTTTCGGCGTAACCGGAAAATGGAGCTGATCTTGAGCGTCCATCGAGTTGGGACCCGTCCGCTGGAGATGGCGTAGAAGTGAACAGCATTGCAGACGCCAACCGACGCAAGGATGCTGCCATGTTTGTAGCTCGTGGCAGGCGTCATTATCTGCTATTCACTGCAATGATGCTTGGAGCAAGAAACAAGTGCTGCTCTAGGACCGGGCTTCGGAATAGACAGATGGTTGTTGAGAGAGCCTGTCAGCATCACGTGGAAGGATCAGTGTGGCGTTGCTAATCATTTGGTGATTGGATGCAGAAGACACAGCCTGCAGGAGGCTTTCTGTCGGGCTCCCCAGGAGTGTCTTTTGGTATGGCTGTGGTCGGGCGAATACCACCATGCAGCGCCAGGCAACCTAACCGTTGGGCCTCATTGGGCGCCATTAGGCGCAGTCTTACTCTTCCCACTAGTGGATAGTGGCCCGCAGCTGAAGCAGTGTTGGCTGGAGGTGGTTACACAGCATGCACTCGGCAGGTTAGATAGAATACAAGTAGCGTCTAGGCCTTGATAACGTGAATGGGGGTCATGGCGGCATATCCATCCTTTACTAGCCGACACTACTTCCACTACGGGCACAGTCCACTATTAAGCATCATTTGTCATCCACCTTAGTCGCTGATACACGGTGTTCTTTCACATGTTGATTGAAGCCCGAGAGGAGAAAGTGTCAACTTCCTGTACCTGAGTATCGCCAATGAATCATTCAGATTTAATTATTTGGCGAAAATCAATTTGGCGGTAATAGGGAGGAGTATTTGCTATGCCCGGAGGCATCATTGGCAGATATTGAGCCGTCCAGTGCAGAAGGTTCCCCTTCGACACGGGGAGGATTATTCGAATGTCTTTGTTCCAGGAATCGTCATGAATGTGCAGCTTGCACGTGTAGGTTGGGATCGGCCCACTCGCATTGCCAAGACTAACTGTGCATGAAGTGTTACCTACGAGTACTTTTGTCAAAGTGATAGGCGCCGGTGGCCATCTGGTGTGGCAGATCTATCCTCAGAAATTGTCATCAAGGCGTCCAGTGTCTGTCCTGGTTCGGGGACTGGCACCAAAATGTGAGAATCAGACTCCTAGTTCGGCCGTCCTGTTTGACGTGGTATTCGCCACGTCATACGGCGAACAGTATTCATGTTGGCCCAGTTTTAACTCAAGATTAATTCCATCATTTCGATGATAACTGAACTTCATCACTTAACAGATATCGCAAGGTTCGAACAATGGGCAGATCAACTTACTCAGTTCCAAGCAACTCGACCAGAGAATACTACTGTCAACAACACCTTCATCTCATCTGGCCCACATACTGTGTCTGTGCTCCATATGAAATCGTGAGTAGCTCTCGAATCTTTCCTCTGTTCATCTGCAGCTAATCGTTAGTAGTGATGGTAGCAGGTATGCTAGAAAGGTGCTCAGCGTAAGCCTCAGTACAGGAGAACAGTGTTTGATACTTGTGAGGATGTCCACTTTGCAAATACTGCACCACCGAACTTTGACCAAAGATGCCGTTTCAAAGTCCCAACGGGATAAAGGCCGATCGCAATGTTTGTTGCCGCATCGGCACATTACTGTTGTGATGCATTCCGAATCTACTATTGAATCAGAATTTGGGAAAAAATATACAATCGAAGGTGAGTTCACAGTTTTTCCCAACATCTCCGCGATACTACACTAAATCTTACTCAGTGAAGTATAATACCAAGTTCTTTGTACCCGACAAGCCGAGGTTCATCACCATGCATGATGTGCTGTGTACTGAAGAGGACCCGAGATCATCAGCTGCACACAATCCAGTTGCGTTTTCAGAAGTGGCGTTTGAATTCGCGGATTCTTTACGTGAGTCGACCCCAACAAAAACGTCGCTGCCTGTCTACAAAGCATTTAATAACATGTGACCAGTTGCGAAGAGTCTGATATCGGATCTGAGACACGCGAAACAGCTCTTGTGCCTGCAATATCTCACCGGTCAGCGGTGGGGAGAGCAATTGATGATACGCAGGTAAATGGTTCATTTTTGTCTCTGGATATTCAGTTGACTAACACCTCGCCGGAAATAACAGAGACTTACCTGGAGATTGCTTCATTGGGCATCTTGTTCTGAGTGAGGCAGAATTCAAATTAGTCGTGGATCCAGAGTCCGGCAGGTTCCGAATCGTCCTGCTAAGAGGGGACCACACCGCCGCGGTGTGTTTTGACTGTCAGTATCAACTCATCCTAGAACTTCACCCATGCTTCTTCTAAGTTGGAGCTTTTACAGCGCCATCAGAAGTTTTACAATAGGGCCTGGCTCGCAACGCAAGCATTATTAGTAACAGTCGGCCTGCCTGGTTCATGGATATTGATGAGACGAGGATCCACATTGTGAGACAGGAGTCCAGCATAGACCCTCTTTCGGTGTTCTTTACAGGTTACAAAGCTTCTTTCAGGCTCGAGGAGGGAGAGGGGGGAGAGGACTCTCAACATCCCGATGTGACAGACGTGGCTTGAAAACACCACTGGCACGCTTGGGATAGAGAGCCCTATTCCTTTGCAAGTTTACAAGGTGCACTACTAATATCGTCATGGCCGGTGTGGGTATCGCAGAACCATTGGGGGGAAACCGACCGTCATTTGACACAAAAACACAAGATCTTTCAGTGAGAACGAAACATCAAGACGCTGACGGGTCCAGGTGCATCAGCCTGGCCGTGAGGGGAGGTATCCAGTGGCCAGCGGAAACGGGTTTCAGCTAGCCCCAAGTAGCATTTTGTTATCATTCTGTCTGTACCCCGGGTCAAACCAGCCATTTACACGATGAACTTGCCTGCTTCAATCCGAGACCTGCGTGGGCAGATGCATGTAACGTCCCAGCGGATAACACGCACCAGGGGCAAACATCGTTGAGTCTAGATCGCAAAAGATGTTGAAGAAAGAATGGGTTGTATTGATGTGCAGAGGAGGAGAACTCCCCACTCTGGCTGCTAAGAAATGGCTCCTTAAAAACACCCCTCTCTAACCCCGAAACGCTCCTTCCGCACCACAATGTCCATCGTACAGATCAAGGCGTAGAATTTGAATCAACTGTGCATGTAATACTTTATTGACATATGACGTTACGCCGTCGATGCGCGAGGAGCCTTGATGGACAGTTGACACATTGACCAACTGGTTGGAGACGGACATCTAGCTCCCAATTCCTTACTAATGGCATCAATTTGGCACTGCACTAAGGCTGCTCGAATTGGTCGGGCCAGAACCATGAAATCCCGACAGATGGAGCGACAACAACACGAGATATGAGATCCACGTTTGGTGTTAGGGCCACAAGTCCTCACTGGCATGTAACCAGAGAAAAGGTACTTGCAGCATACCAAGCCATTGCGTGCCAGTCAGCAAGGTTGGCTTGTCCCGATCAGTCTAATCGCAGTGTGTTGTTGAGGCTGGACCTGATCTAACCGTTGGTGGCGCTCTGACGGCAGCAGAGCTGCTTTACCCTAGTCCACCTCGTTTGTACTTAGTTTCTGAAGATCCAGGGGTCTGGACCAGAGATGTTGCGCGTGGGACGGAAGCATGATGTCAAGCGACTCGTCTGCACATCAACCGTTCCATCCTCCGGGGCTGAAAATCCGAGAGCCGTTCGGCTGTCATCTCGATGGCGTCCGATGTATGCGGCCAAAGTATCTTGCGTCAGACATGGGTAGGTAATCAGAGCCTCAGACCTCGAGAGCGATGACAATTAAGAATCAGGTCTAGGGTGTCCTCAACAATTCTTACCCCGTATCCACATTTTGGGAGAACGCTCCCACGTTTCTGTTGGAACTAGCATCAAGGTTAAATCAAGCACGAGCGCCGAGCGTCAGGTACCAAGGCTCAAAAAGGTGCTCTGCAATGTGTTAACTTAAGACGTCGGCCGGTAGACTGAACTTGAACGCGTCAATTAAAATACAAACTCTAAATGCTGTTCACTTGTGTAACAGCAGTTGAAATGATGTTCATCCAGTCTCTCTTCAGTCTCCTTCCACCAATGGACTGCGAAATTATACTACTGCAAGGGGTCTGCGTTGTCACGAGATCACCGTTCAGGCACCAGTATCCTAGCTCGCGGTCCGTCCCGGCCGTTCTTACCTAGCACATGCACCGTCGACTTCCCAGGTCCAATCTCCACCTCTACTACATTGGGACAACCAACTCAGTGATACTTTCAATTCGTCTCTTGAAGGGAACATGGTGACAAGGCGGGAAATGCATGGACTTTCTGTCTACTGTAGCCTTATTTGAAATGGTCACAAAGCTGGAGTCGCTAACAATGCTGCCTCCAGAAGGAGCCTTGAAAGCAGCTTGAACTGCTTCGTGTGTCGTCTAGGAGCCGGTCCGAAACGGTTTATCTAGTGCGCACGACTAAATGTTGAGCTTTTCAGTGTAGCTGCGATTTCATCTGGAAGGACTGTGAAGGACATCCATATGAAAAGAGAACCTTTTCCAGATCCGCTGTTCACAAGGTAAATAGAGCTTAGTGACGCAGTTTCTGTGAGATAATGGTGGCACTGATTTTCCGCCGAAAGATTTAGGGCCGGAGTCCAACACTTTACTCATCAATGAGTGCAATCGCTAGCAACGATGGTTAACAGCCTGCAGAGGCTCATTAGCTGGCAGCACGAAAAGATGAGTGGTCAATGACGAAAGAAACAAACCACCAGTAGAGGTATTTAAGGACGCCTGCCTCTCTGCTCGATGGGAACCTTCGATGACAAGATCAAGCTCACCGACCACATCCGGTACTTGGGCATTAATAATATTTCAGTTCAGGCAGTTGTCCAATGGTTTTGTTGACACCTCAAGATGAATACACTCAAGACGACCGTCCTCCTTTATGCTACTGTCCTCATCAGCCCGGTGTTCGCGGCACCTCAGGGGGCTGGTGAGGCAGTCAAGACAATCGCCCCACCTCGATCAACCGGGACTCCCACCACGAAGACCATCACGCACGATGCTCTTGATGGGCCTCATTCTACTGAAGCTACCCAGGCTGCCTGGGTGGGCGGGCGACTAAAGCAGCGGATGGAACAGCCTCCGGAGCATCTCACAATTGAGATTCTCAATGCGTATGGTCAGTATCTTGTTGCGTGCACGTTTCACAAGCACACATTCTCCAAGACGCTAACAACGGTAACAGGGCATGAAATCACAACTGCGCATGCCAGCAACGCGGGTAGTCCGACACCAGTCGGAGGCCCTATCGAGCCTGGCATCGTGCCCAACGGGACGACGGCCTCGTTCGCCGTCCCAACTGGCTGGGCCGGCAACGTCGCCATGAACAGAGCCAATATGTCAATCACCGGCGACGTGACTCTGCTCGAGGCATCGTTCATTGCGTGAGGCCACCCCGACCCCGCCGCAGATGACCTATGCGCCATCCAAATCCATTCATGCACTGATGCTAACACCCTCCAGTCCCGAGGGCTGGGACTTCGCCGTCGCAGGCGTCGACGTCTCGCTCGTCAACGGCTTCACCGTCCCCGTCACGTGCGAGTGCGACGGCAGCTGGGTCGCCGGGTGCAAGAAGAACCTCTTCGACGCCAAGAAGGCCCGCGAGGTCCAGAACGCGGCCAACGCCGCTGTCAACCCCCTCCGCGCCGACATGTCGGCCACCTCTGCCGAGCCTTTCTTCGCCCCGTGCGAGGGGGCCGCCTACACGTTCCCCAACGACCACGCTGCCAACAGCTTTGGCGCGTGCCAGAGCGGGCTGATCTCTTGCTGTGTTGGGACAGCTTGCCAGGCGTCGAATCTAACGTCTTCGACATGACCCAAGGCCCGTTTACGGCAGAGACAGATCCCTTATCACAGTGGCAGGAAAGCACGTTCCTTTTCCAAGACCTCCACTCGTGATAGCAGATCAGATACGGCACAGACAGAAATAGTCAGGGTAATATGGCACTACATTGAGAAATGCTTTTGTCTTTGCTTTTGTCTTACGTTCCCTCCTTGGATATCTAGATGAAACACTTAGACCTAATTCGACAGACTCCTTATGTCGAAGGATCAGCAACCTTGACCGTGGCCTTGCCGAACGTCTTTCCGTTAAAGAGCGACAAGAACGCGTCCTGCGCCGACTCGATGCCCTCGAACTTGGTAGCGCGGGCCTTGACAGAACCCTCGGCGATCCACTTGGGCATGAGCTCCCAGAACTTGTCAATGTTGTCCGTGTAGATGTTGTGGTCCCAGAAGACGAAGCCCTGGATGGTGATTCGCCGGCGGAAGATCTCGGCAAGGTTGGTCACGCCGAACTGCTCCGAGGGGGGCTTGTTGTACTCGGACACCATGCCGCAGACGACAATCCGCCCAAACCACTTCATGTTGGTCAGCGCGGCCTGGAAGTGGTCGCCGCCGACGTTCTCGTAGACGACGTCGACGCCCTCGGGCGCGAGCCTCTTGAGCGCGGCGTCGCAGCTCTCCTTGGTGTAGTTGAAGCACTCGTCCGCGCCGAGCGACTTCACGTACTCGGCCTTCTCGTCCGAGCTGACGCTGCCGATGACGCGCATCCCCTCCTTCTTGGCCAGCTGCACGACGATCTCGCCGACGGCGGACGAGGCGGCGTTGACCCAGATGGTCTCGCCCTTCTTGGGCTTGACGAGCCCGTAGAAGGAGTTCCAGGCCGTCTGGCCGGCGAGGCCCAGGGCGCCGACCCAGTTGCCCAGGTCGATGTTGTACTTGTTGTCGACCTTCCAGATCATGTGGGCGGCCATGGGCTTGTACTCGATGAGCTGTGATGAAGTGTGAGTCTGGGGCGAGCTGAACATGACTGCGTCTCTGGATGGGGTATACTGACCTCCACTGGCACGATGGAGTACTCGGCGAATGGCAGCACACCGGCGATGATCTCGCCCTCCTTGAACTTGTCGTTGTCGCTCTTGACCACCTGGGCGACGGAGAAGCCAGCGATGGGCTCCTCGGGGACGTAACCCGGGACGTAGCTCTCAAAGGTAGGGCCCTTCATGCGGTCGCGCATGTGGGGGTCGAAGCCCAGCACCAGCGTCTTGACGACCAGGCCCTTGGGCGGTGGCGTGAGCTCCAGAGGCTTGTCCTCGAGGGCCATGTCCACGTTGGCCTTGATCATCCCCTGGGGGATGCTCTTGAAGATGAGCGACTTGTTGCTAACGGGCGCCATGTTTGCTGTGTCTTGGGTTTCTGGGAGTTCGGTCTACAGGTGTGGTTCTGAAGCCGTCTTTGCGCTGACCTGATTGTGCGGATGAAGACCTGAAGAGTGGTGAGGAGGCCGAACGCCTTCCCAATGCAGCTTTAAAAAGCTCAGAGCCCCTGATCGCCTGACTGTCACGACCTGCCTGCATGCCTCGGTCCGGCGATGATCCCCGGGCCCTCCCTGGAGCGGCGCCGCTAGGGGATATTTGGCCGCGTTTCCATTCCTTGCTGGAGCATCTGAGGCAGTCTCATAGGCGATAACTTGCGTGTTTGGCCGGGTTGTGTGGGCTTCATGTGGATCCCCCGGCGAGCTAGACGCAGGATTGACGGTAGCTGGGATCCAGTTGTGGCCTGATATCAGCTTTCTCATTCTGCGCTGCCACATGGCAAGATCGGTTGTTACCAATTCAGTAGGAGATCAGTCGGATAATAACGCTAGCCGAGACCTACGCTGAAAGCGGAAGAAGCACCGCGAGCTTGGTCCGGAGCCGCATCCACGATGCGACGCTGTCAATTCAGGTCTTACCAGGAATGGTCGCTTGGCAGTGGTTTTGCTACCTGACAGCCATCAGCTAGAAGGGACCTGGAACTGATCTCCAGTTCTAGAACACGAATTGCACGCCAGGGGTCCGTTCATGTTCAGAAAGATGGAGGCCAACTAAAAGGGTATCGAGGTCCTGTCCGAAAAGTAGCATGTTTCCCTTGCGCGCTTTTTTTTGTTGGGTCCAACTCCTCCTTTCTCGTCGTAGAATCCCACCGCCTGCGTGAATGCATCCTACTGACTAGGCAGACCTTTTCTGGCCCCGATTTCAAACTTCGCACTGACTTGTGTAGGTTTGGTAAGGGCTGTTATTTCGAATATTTGTCAGGCTCCCGTCGACGGAGAAAGACAGATCATCTGTTGAAATGATCCCAGCGACAAGTTCCATGCACATGTTTTGACGGGACCACGAAATGTGGAGACGTGCCGGCAGATCAATCTGCACCTCAACATCCCACCTCAATCGTGGCAAAGGTCTGTGCGTGGTTCCCATGGCAGCCAGGGGAGATGCGTGAGGAAGGGCTAGACTTCATCGAGGGCAGCGAGTGGGTCAACCAAACGCACTTGAGCTAACTTGACTATATTACTAGGCACGAGAACGTGAGATACCTCAAATTCCGTGCTTCACATTCGGAACAATTCTTGGATGGCCTCGTCTGAAGACGTGAAGTTGTTAACTCCAGTTTTGAGGAGCTCGGGAGAGTGCTGCCAGTGGACCTCACGTTACAAGATTAATTGGCTTGTTCCGTCGGGGCGATTCAAAAAATTGTCGGCTGCGGAAGAGAAGAAGTTCCTTAGATGGCATACTTCTTCCCCACAATTCTTGATGCCGTGTTTATGTCTCTCGAGTCCTACTGTCCAATATTGAGGGCTTTTGTTGGACAAGAGTCCTTATTTTCATGATGTGCGGGTGTAAACTGTTATGCTTAGTATTGTACCACGCTCACTACCCTAGGCGCCATCAGTGCCGGTGTCAAACAATTCAGGCAAGCAGCCCGGGCGTGTCGACCACCGAGGAAAAGACGCTGCAGAATTCTTGAAGAATCTCCAGAACTGATACAGATCAAGCTTGCTCCACAGTAGCTGGAAGATGCTCAAGTGGTAAGAGCTGTCTGCACGGTGCAGGCGTTGAATCTAGCAGCTAGCAGGTTCTTGCGAAATCCAGTGGATGGGCCAGTGGATAGAGGACCGGGAATTAAACGTCCAAACTTTTTTTTTTTTTGCTCTTCTGAAGGAATGATTCAAAGAAAAGAATGCAAATTGAGAGCGCCGTCACTGCGTGATGAGAGGCTTAGGCAAATAAAGTGGGTCAGCCGTTGATGTCATGCGGCTACTGAGTGTGATGTCATCCAGCATCAGGTATAAGCTCATGGCTGTATGACCCTTCCCTGACCTTGATCTGGGAATTTCAAGACCTCAAACATACACGCTACGTTCAATCCTGCCCCGTCGCATTTTTTTTGCAAAATGGACTCGAATTTACACAACATCGCCACCAATCTCACCAACACGGTGTTGGCCAACAGGGGAGAGCAGGGGCAGCGCAACGCCGTGCTGGTCTCACAGCACGGCACGAACATCCGCGACCCGGGCTTCCTGTCCCACGACTTCCGGAAAACCTTCCACGCCCCACCGAGACTATATTTCACGGCCGAGAGCGACCAGTTCGATGCTTCAACGTTGCAGGAGTGGCAGAACGCGGGCTTCACCATCGAGTACTTCCCCATGGGCAAGGGTGGCGCGTCGTACACGAGAAAGCTGCAGTCGCTCTTCACAAAACCGCTGGAGCTAGGTGAAACCTTTGGAGTAATCGGTAGGTAACATAACGTCAACGTACTTCCTCAGCATTTTAAATACGCGTTGGGGAGTCGCTTGATCTTGGATGTGAGAACAAGAGTTCAGATCTTGCTACTGGAGCCTATCCTCCTTGTCCCCTGCATCCCAGTCCTATCTCCGATCATATTCTGACGAGTCATTGCAGCATATGGGGACGCGGCAGGCGCCTGCCTAGAACACTTCCACATCCTGGACAACAACCCCGAAAATAAACTGGGCTGCCTGGTGGCATACTACCCGAACGTCATCCCTGACCCTCGGGCCGCATTTCCCTCCACCATGGAGGTCGTCGTGCACCTCGCGGGCGACGAGGTCGGCGAGGTCCATCACAGCCAGCTGGCTGGGGTTGAAGGGAAGCGCAAGGTTGTTCGCCACGACCTCAAGGACGCCAAGGGGAAGGGCAAGAAGCTGGACATGGCTTATCCGTGCTACAAGTACGACGCCGAGCCTGGGTTTGCGGAGCGGGACCTGGACGTGTATGATGAGGAGCGCGGAGCAAGCAAAAGACCGGACTCTTATGGCGGTTAAGAAGGCTTTCCGGGTGTAATTTGGTACTGACGACTGGCAATGCCTGAGACGAAGACTGCAAGAGAGGGCGATGATGATACCATACTGAATAAGGTCTACTGTATTCATTGCTAGCGATTGTCTGGAAGCATGAGCTAGTAAACAATAATTCCAACTGCATGACATGGGTGGATTCTGTTCGCTGTTGAAGTTTGTGGCATATCCGGGCCCGTGTTCTGTCTGCGTACAAGCTCTGTGCACCAACGGAAATCCTCTTGTTTATGAGAAAGCCAAGCCGTAGAACACCATCTCTGGCATCGGGTACATCAGACGAAAGACAAAATGGGATAATTGCATCCGAACTCTGCTTCCAACTGCTTCCAAAGTGGAGTTTTCCCCGCATCAACAACACCACGGCAACCAGGTTCCCCAGCGCCAGGACGGATGCGGAGATGATTGCTACTGAGGAGAAGGCCCAATCCCTACCAGCCGGCCATCATAGCGAGGAACGTTGCGCGTCTTGACCATCGCGATGCCGGGCGATCAGCATTTTCCCGACGGCTCGGATAACAAACAGGTCACTTCTTGGAGTATGCTGAGGGGTTGGTTCACGATGGACCGCGCGACTCGCTACCTATGGATGCAGACTACAAAAGGGCGACTTTCTCCCCTGCAGGGCAGGGCAGGTCCGCCAAACCCCCACGGTTAACCACCGCTGCTTGCAGAAGGACCGGCTCGACCTGACCTGATCAAGATGAGGGGCTCACTCTCCGTTGTGGCTGCTGCTGCTGGGCTCGGTGTTGTCCTCGGCCAAGACATCGGCGCGTCGCTCGTTGTAAACCCCAAGAACAGCCCCGGGGTCGGTGGAAGCACTTCATCCTTGCCGATTGACATCGCCAGCCTCCGTAACAACAGGGGGTTCGGCAACAGCCCCAACGACGCGGACTTTGACGGCACCGGCGCGGGTTATCCGGCACAATTTCTCCCAGCGGAGAACTTCAACTACGGAGGGGTGGACTTCATCTTTCCGCAGTATCAGGATAACAATGGGAGCGACAATGTCCTCGCTCAGGGGCAGACCCTCAATATCAGCAGTGGCCGCTATGTCGGTGTGCACATGCTCGCTGCGGCGGAGAGCGCCATCGCCACGGGCTTTGTCAACGCTTCGTACGCGGATGGCTCGACAACAAGCGGTGCAGTACTGGTTGACCCGTTTTGGGCATGGCCGTATCCTTATGGCGGCGATATTATTTTCCCATACTACCTCACAAACGAGACGGTGGACTACAACCGGTCTATGATCTTCAGGAGTATCACATGGCTCGACAGCTCAAAGGAGCTGACGAGCCTGCAGCTGCCAAATGTGACATCGGGAGCCGCGAATGGGCCAGGCGGTGCAGCGCAGGAGACGAGGCTGCACATCTTCGCCGTGTCGTTGATCCCGGCAGACGCTGACGGGTTGAGCTTGGACGTCGAGCTGGCACGGAGCACCAACACGTGGGTCGAGGGGACCAACAAGACCCGTCAGTACCATTCTTCTCCTGCTACGCTTCCCCGATCTTTGTGCTTTAGAATGTTCCAAAATGTATCACTTTGGGGTCCGTAGCAGGTGACTAACAGGTACTAGAAATATTCGAGGCGATCATCAACAACGTCGGGACCGAGTGGGTCCTAGCCAACCAGAGCGTCACCGTGTCGATCGAATCGGACGGTGTCCGGACGGTCCAGCCGGGGTACATCAACCGACTTCGGCCCGGAGATCAGGCCCGCGTTCAGATAGGCGTCGTCAATGCCGACGGCGTGGCAGAAGGGACCGATGGCACTGCCACCTTGGCCATTTCGGGGACGGGCGTGTCCACGAACTACACGTTCAATGCTACCTACGGCATCCGCGAGTTCGAGCCAACATACGAGAGCATCTACGCGCACGAGTCCCCTCCGTGGTTCAACAATGCCAAGTACGGGATTTTTATCCACTGGGGCGTGTACGCCGTCCCGGGCTGGGGCAACTCGGGCGACAACGAGTCCTACGCCGAGTGGTACTGGTGGCGGATGAACTCGGGCCCCAACAGCACGCGCGACCGGACCTACGAGTACCACCTCGAGACCTACGGGCCCGACGTGGTCTACGACGACTTCATCGCCAACTTCACCGCGTCGCAATTCGACCCCAAGGAGTGGGTCGACCTCTTCGCGGACGCAGGCGCCAACTACTTCGTGCAGGTGTCCAAGCACCACGACGGCTACGCCATCTTCGACCTGCCGGCCAACGTCACGGAGCGCACGAGCGTGGCCCAGCTCCCCCACCGGAACCTGCTCCAGGAGATCTTCGACGCCGCGGCCGAGCACCAGCCGCAGCTGCACAGGGCGACGTACTACAGCCTGCCCGAGTGGTTCCACCCGGACTACCGCGGCTACGGCTTCGGGGACTGGCCGGGTGGCAACGCGACGAACCCGTACACGAACGAGACGCTGCCCTACACTGGTTACGTGCCCGTTGGTGACTACGTCTCCGATAAGATCCTGCCAGAGATGCGGACGCTGGCGAACATGGGGACTGAGATTTTATGGTGTGATATTGGTGGCCCGAACTTGACGGCGCAGTTTGCTGCCGAGTACTTCAACAATGCGGCGAGGCAGGGCAAGCAGGTCCTGACGAACAACCGGTGTGGTACGCCTGGGGACTTTGACACGCCTGAGTATGCGAAGTATGAGTCGGTGCAGATTCGCAAGTGGGAGTCGAGCCTGGGGATGGATCCTTATAGCTACGGGTACAACAGGGCGACGCCTGACGACAAGTACTTGACGGCCCAGGGAATCGTGACGAGTCTGGTGGATATCGTCAGCAAGAATGGGAATTTCCTTCTTGACGTTGGACCCACTGCTGAGGGTAAGCAAGATCCCGACCCGTGCCTGGCTGTGAACTTGAAGGACTGACAATATGCCCTGTAGGAGTCATCGTCGACATCGAGCAGCGCAACCTCCGAGCAGCAGGCGTCTGGATCAAGTCCCACGCAGAGGCCATCTTCAACACGACGTACTGGTCCATCACGCCCCAGGAAGGCGACACCGTGCGATTCACCCAGACTCCCGACGCCTTCTACATCAGCACCCTCTACGCGCCCAACGACACCCTCGTCCTTACCTCCCCTGTTCCCTACGTGGAGGGCGACGAGGTGACTGTGGTCGGCGGGAACAAGTCTGGCACGGTGGTCCCGAGCGAGCTGTCCGACGGCAGGCTGACTTTGACCATCAGCGAGGACGTGAGGAACGCGGATGAGTATGTTTGGGTGTTCAAGATTGCTTTCGGGGGTGCGAATAGCACCAACGGCGGAGGCAACGGCGGCAGTGGCAGCGGGTCGGGAGGTGGAGGAGACGGGACTGGCAATGGCGCAAACGCCCTCGGAAGCTCGTCCCTGCTGGCATTGGCTCTGTCACTGGCTGTGATGCTTCTTCTCATCTGATGCAGTCGGTAGTAAAAAGTGAGTATCTAATAAGACTATACTTCGTATATACCTAGTGTGACATCTCCAGCCAAGCGGATGTCCCTCTTGGAACCATGCGTCTTCCCAAACCTCACACTTTAATCCGTCTAAACTCAACCACACCCGTTGGATCCGGCCCGCTCACGCTCCCGTAGTAGAAATTAGGATACCTCTCCTTGACCACCTCGGGGAAGCGCACGTCAAACTGCAGCAGGATCCGCGCCATGATGAGCTTGATCTCGTTGGCGGCGAAGAAGCGCCCCGGGCAGGCGTGCTTGCCGAAGCCGAAGCTCGTGTTCTCCTTGGTGACGCTGACGAACTGGTACGACTCGCGCGTGCGGAAGCCGTTGGGGTCGGGCGTCCCGTCCTTGATGCGCAGGTCGTAGAAGCGGTAGGGGTTGAACACCTCCGGGTCCGGGTAGTGGTCCGGGTCGTGCAGCACGGGCAGGCTCGGGGTCTCGATGTATGTCCCTGCCGGGATGTGGGTCCCGTCTTTGAGGGTGATGGGCTTGTAGACGTAGCGGCGGAAGGAGTCTGCCAGAGTAAGTCTCTCTCCCTGGGCAGCCGTACGTGCCAATGCTCAGGTAGACTTACCAACAAAGGGCGGGCTGAACCGTTGACTCTCACGCATGAAGCTGTCCAGAAGCTTCATATTGAACAGCGCCTGCGAAGTCATCACACCATTCGTTTCCTCCAGAACGGACGCAATCTCCTTGCGGATATCCTGCACCACCTCGGGACGCACGGCAAGGTCATACATCATACCAGTCGCAGCCAGTGTCGTGGTATGGATCGCAGCCAGAGTGAGCAGGAGCTGCATGTCAGTCAAGTGGCCAACATCAGCGATCCCGTGCTCGGTCGTCTTCTCAACCATCCACTGCAGCAGGTCATCCGGCACAGGGTGGCCCTCCTTCATCAGCTGCCGCCTCTTCTCCACCATCGGCTGGAGGAACTCCCTCATCCGGCGCCTGTGCTCCTGGCCGCGGTTGACCGCGGGCGCCAGCTTCAGCTTCACGACGAGCGACCTCATGAACTTGGGCCACCGCTTGATCTGCGCCGCGCCCGCCGTGATGTCGTTGGTGAAGTCGATCGCGGAGGCCAGGTACGTCTCGTGGCGGCAGTGGTCTGGCCCGACGAATATGTCGCCCGAGACGATCGCGACGACCCGCAGGAGGATGGGGAATATGATGAGCGAGTCCAATTGTTGCAGGATGGGATCTCTGAGTTGATTGTGTTTTCGACTTGCGCTGATAGCCTCGGGTTTAATCGGGCTGATGTTTCAGTGGGTCAGGTCAACTGTGGCCCTGTGTGTAATGACGCGCAAGGTGGCTCACTCAGGCTCCTGGTCAGTTCAACCTTTACAACGCTGTTGGCGACTTCTGTCCTATCCTTGGGTGGGAATAGCTTGATGTGGTCGTTGGCGAACGTCTAGTGTGTGACGCGTCAGTTGAAGACAGCACAGAATTCAAAGAGTCGGAATAGTACATCTGTAAATGCCTTAAGGACATCGATCTCATCATCAGAGCGTGTTCTCAGCTCATCTAAGTATGCATTCGGAACGATGAGGTGGTCACCTATATGCAATGTAAATCAGCCGATTGGTCGGTCCGCATGAGGTACAGGGTATTTGTCGGGAGCCTACTAACCATCAGGCATCGTCAGTCGGTATACTTGGTTCTTGAAGCGGCGATAGCCTTCCTCGTACAGCTTTACGGGCTGGTACAAGAACGCCTCCGCTCGTTTACGCCGATTTCCATATTCCTTGCCAAGTAGGGGGAACTTTGTGATTGCTGACTGTGAACCCAGTCGATGTAGGACGATGATGACTGTGGCTATCAGCGCCGCGAAAGCCCAGCCGGGCAGATTTTGCCCAAGCATGGTCGGAAGACCAGTGGATGTCATTCTGCTCCTTTAAATGCAATTCCTTCACAAATTCGGACTCTCTGAAGACCAATGTTGGCGAGAGACCGTTGAGGCAGGCTTACAAAGTGTAGCACAAGAGGGGAGGTGAAGCTTATTTAGCTTCGTACAGTCGTACCTGGGATATTGTTGTTCCCTTTTTCAGCCAGTCAATGCGTTTCACCACGGTGAGGGGCGCGTGTGACCTCGTGAGGCTTGGCCACGGGAGAAGCTACGGTGCGGAGGAGGTCGACCATCCGGCCACTCTTATAGGCTCCGCACCCAATTCATAGGCCATGCGGTTTCTCCAAGACTTATGCAACTGGTGCTGACTGATATTCATGTCAGGAATTCGGATTTATGATTCTCTCCGTCGACTGTAATGATCATCGTCTTTCCACTCAATTGTAAAGCTACTAGTAACGCTCATTACTTAAGTACTCGCTGCTTTGTCACAGGTAAATCGAACTTGTTACCGCATATCTGGAGGCTATATCCCTACAAATGGATTTCCACTCTTCATCGGCGGAGGTATGGCTGCCAAGCATACACTGGGGAGATGTGTCGGAATTGAATAGGTAGCCCAGCGTCATTGGGGGCAGATCCCGGCTGTAACGCATCATTGAAAACGGATTGGTGAGATGTGGAAAATTGGGAGCAAACACCAGGAGAGCCTAAGCGATATTCGGGGATAAAGACAATAGCAGCCTAGAAACAAAGAGAAGGATCTACTAGTCCATCTTAGCAGCTAAGGTTTGCAACTAGCACTTTACATACCTAAATTACTATTTCGATGATAAATCTAATATGGAGAGACCAACCTAGTGGAACTGGTGTTTAAGGAAAGCACTGTTTATATCAAGCAATAAGCTTTGGGCGTTTCTCTTTGATTCCTTCAAACACCTCTTTCCAAATGTCTCGCTCTTCACGTAGCTTGCCTTCTGCCTTCTGCACATCTGCCCCTGCCGCTCCCTTTGTCTTTGTTTTGTCCAGCTGAAGGCGCCATCTCGCCTCTAGGCAACCATTCATATCGGTCTCGAGTAGCAGACGAAAACCGACATCTGGAATGTCGAACGCCATGGTCGAAAAGTCGCAGGACTCGGATTTCTCTCCACAGATTGTTGCCGCTAGTTGTGTGTCCCAAGAATACCACTTAGACTGTAGATCTGCGATCCTTTCCACGGTCCTCGTTCTTCTCTCATCGTGTGGAATTCGATGCATATGAGCCGCGCACCTCCATGGTGACGGCACCTCGAGCCTAGTACGGCCATTCTGCGGACGCTGACGCGGTGCATTGCCGTAGCGGTAGCTGGCGAAGACGAGACCCATGATAGCGCCGTTCTGGTGCAAGGCCGGTGTCCATTCATCGTGTCGCAAGAGTTCCCATTCCTCGCCTCGGAAGAGTTCAAGGGCTGCCTGATCCAGATCTTCCTCGTTGACATCTCCCAGTACTGCGATCATGGCCTCGACGACTTCCCACACATGACGGGCAAGCCTTGCAAAACCAGAATGTCTTTGCGACGTGCGGCTGCTCTTGATGTACTCTTCTAGAAAGTTGTAGTTTTCTAGGTGCCGTAGCAGCAGAGATTTTGTTCTGTGTCCGTACTGTATTAGTGGAGGCGATGACTCAAATATTGCGTCGAGCAAGACGTGTGAGGCTGGTTTCGCATAGTCGACCGAGATATTCGTGACAGAAGACGACCCATCATCAGGGTCGGCCACCATCCCGAGAAAACCATATACAAGGTCGGCTGGGCGGCTGCTCTCGCGGTTGGAAAATTCTCTCAGCAATCTCCACAATGGGTAGATCCCATCAGACATCCGCATATCCCATATCTCCCATACAAAAGAGCATGCTCCGCGATCGTCACGGAACTCGGCGAAATGATGAAGTAATTTATCCAGAGTAAGGCAAAACTTCTCGGTCATAACCTCAACGTCATTGGCCTTGACTACTTCCTGGACAATCCAGACACGGAGCCAGTAATCATTCAGCGACAAACGACGTATCGCAAGTCTGAACGTTTCCTCTCTGTCGTTAGATACTTTAAATATCGCAGCGCGCTCATGATGCATTGACAGCTCTAGTTCGGATGCCAAGTCTTGCGGAGTGGGAGAATGGGACATCGGATCCAAGTCTCGTGAAGTGGTATAGCTGAACAAAGGATCCGAACCCAGATTGCGGCGTTGGTGGTCTCGTATCAGACGGAGACGTTCAGACCGGAACGCCTTTTCGCCGAGGTCGAGGCGGTTGTCCCATTCTAAGGCCTTCAGTATCAATTCAAGATCGTACTGCGAAATGTCCAACCAAACCACAACGTGGTCTGCCTTTGAATAAATTTCACCCATCAACAAGACCTGCTGTGCGACCTCGTCGTGGTTACTCTGGTCCAAACAGAGACGGTCGGTCCAGAAGGATGTGCGAAACATTCCTTTTCGCCAGGCGTGGTCTAGAAATTTCCACAGATTCTCATGGAGCGCAAAAGGCCGCCACCCCTCGTTGTTGTCTTGAAGGTATATCCGCCTCGTTGGACTTTGGTCTCCCCACAGGTATGAGAGAGCCTCGTACCTTTCGACAGGTACCTGCTCCCTACTGGCCTGGAAGATCGTGCACGCGATGTCGCCATTTATCTTTTCGCGCATGATCCTGATGAGTCGGACTGTCGTCGGACGCTCGAGCCTTTTATGCTTGTAGGGCTCATCTATCGCCACGGGCTCGTCCACCACGGGCTCGGGGGGTAATGACCCCCCAGAGGATAGTCGCCAGGCACTCATCTGCGGATTTGAATTCCACTAAGTAATTAATCGAAAAAATGACACGCTGCCAGACTTATAAGTCACTGTGCTTGCCGTTCAAGAAAGTCTGAGGCGCTCACACTGCCAGTGTCAAAGATGTAATTACTTGCGAAAACGAAAAAACAAGAAATGAGTAAAATAGTGAGCAACTGAAAGCAGCAGCTAACATACATGATATACGAATGTCAAGAGAAGGTGGTAACCCGCAACAGACACTCTGTTAGCGCCGAGGTTGACGGGCTGGACCCCATGCTCCGCCACACCAGGCACCAATGCAGCTGGATGGGACATTTGTACCCCTGGCCGACGCAGCCCAGAGAACTCGACAAGATGACGTAGAATTTCATTTATCCTGTCATCGGAGCAAGTCTTAGTTGGGCCTCAACAAGTCCTTTGGCTGCGCCATGCCGACATATCTTTGCTGTTGACACGGCGAAATGCGATTCCATTGCCGTACGTCTCTGTTGTGGCTCAATAATGGAAATGCGCTCATTTGAAAGCCGTTCCAAGGACCGTGTAGAGGGAAACATGCCTCTTATGACCGTCAGATTATCTTCCTCAGTAGAACCGTGAGTCTTGTGATGTGAAGCAACCTTAAGGCTCTCGAGAACATGCAAGCAATCCGGGTTCTTGCTCATGTGCGTACAAGATATTCTATAGATGCGATCCTGGTACCGTTCCCTCATTTCCTGTGTCGCGTGCATCCTTTCAACTCAAATGACTTTCATTACTCACGTGACCTTCGCGCCCTTTGGTGGCTGCTTCCAACCCAGCTCTCCTTTGAGGAATGCCTTGGTGGCAGTCTTGACCTGCGCAACCTTTGCGTTCCACTGCTCCCGATCACCATCATTCTTTGGTGCCACGATCTCCCGTCGCGCGCCATCTGAGGTCAGGTATCTGCCCAGGTGCATGACCTTGCCCTTTCGTTTTGCTGTGACTGCGTCCTTCCCGTTGTTGTTGATAAGGAGCTTCCGCAACCGAATTATATTGTCCTCTTCTCTGTCCGTGAAGACGAGAATATAGTCGTACGTCTTGAAAATGGTCTTCGTGATTCCTCGCGACCGCCTGGATTCGATTTCCCGCTTAACGTCTTGCTTGTATGGGTAGTTGAACAGCTTGTTGTCGAAGAGCGCGGCAAGCGCCGTCGGCTGCGGTGGGGACCTGCCCTCTTTGATGCCCAGTTGGTAGCTGGGGTACAGGAACTTGATGCCGCTGATCGTGTCGACGACTTCGCTGCGCTTGCGGACAAAGAATCCCGCCGAATGAGCCACCTTGACCCTCCAGTCGCCTCCCGTGCGGAGGGTCCATTCCCGGAGCAGGTTGGTGTAGGCCTCAGCGACGATGCTCCGGGCCATGTTGTAAGGGTCGACGAAGATTATTCTGAAGTCCGCGCGAGGAGGCTCGGGCTCGGGGGATGGTGACGGCTGTCTGACAATTGCGGGGGCCTGGCCTCCAACAAGAAGCTGGTTGATGCCGAAACCCATCATCACCTGCAGGAGATCCCTCAGATCCTGCCGGTGTTCCTCGATGCTATTGCCGAGGGCCTGGAGCTTGTCAGAACTGCTTCCCAGCGCGAAATATGCCTGCGCGGCGATCTTGAACCGGAACTGCATGCCCCATGGGCCAATGTCCTTATCCCATTTATTGAACAGGACCTGCACTTCCTCGCCGTCCTTGCGGATGTCTTGGATGACTTCGAGCAGCTCGTCGGTCATGGCTGGGCCGAGCCGGGCTAGAGAGCGTTTCTCATCCGTACGTAACAATGTTTCCAGCTGGCCTAGTATCGTGTTCAACAAGCCCATCCGCTTACCAATACGGCGGATTTGGTCTGGGGCATCCTGGATTTTCTTGTAGATCTCGATAGCTTTTCCTACCCTTTCAACCACCTGCAGCAAGGTGCCAAGCGGGTCAGCCATGGTCTTCAAGACAGTCTTATGTAACGTTGTGGTAATGAGTGGGCTCTTGGCAGTATATGCAATGAATGCGCACAACTTTGAGTGAGAGAAAGGAGAGCGGAGACGTGTTCTCCGGCCACCAAGCCGCACAGCTCGACAAGCGCCCTAATCATCAGCCGCACTAGAAACTGACAAGCTCAGTAACCAGGCGGAGGATTCGACGAGAATCAGCGCTTGTTTACATATCCTTGCTCGGTCATCATGTGCCGAGGTACCTAATGCACGCCCTAGAGCTTGGCAATCCCTGCAGTGGTACATCTCGGAGCTTGAACAGCAGAAGCTTATTTCAGCCGTGCAGAGCAGATCGCCGGCTGTCATTGTCATCCGCTAACTGTTGAAGTCTATCGAAGACTTCGAATAGACTTGCTCGCTCGAAAGTGGAATAACAGCGGCACAGAAGACATGCTTACTTTTTTGCATGAGATTATGTCCCAGCGACAATCCATCAGGTGCATTTCGGCCCTTGCTTCATGACTTGCATCCCCAATATCGAAACCTAGCCCTCAATTGGCGCGCGTTGACTCCTTAATTTTTCCGCGCCTTCTACCTTGGCAACCTCTCCTATGGATCCAGGTGGCATGTCACTTCTGACCCAAGAAACGATCCTTCCAGCGGCTGCGCTTAGTCGGCACTCAACCTGCAGGTGACTGGCACTCCATTGGTGAAAGATCGAAGGGGACGGTAACCGGCAGCTAGTGTTGCATCGCTGGAATTAAGAACCAAAAAGGACGCTGTGATAACTTGGCGCCATCAATACGACACATCTGGAAGGGGGATTCCCAATGAGGCATGAGAGTCTTGGCTATTACGGGAGCGGAGGCCACTATGTCCGAGTCCATCAATGAAAACACTCTGCCGTTTCTCAGCAAATTGCCCGTTGCAACCGTGGAACAAGCTGTTCCATATGTTCCCCCTCTCTCAGGCCACCAAGCTCCACTATCTCCGCGACCTGTGCCCCAACTGGTTGAGCGACTCAACGGCTTTGAGGATGGTTGCGGGCGAAGTATCTTGGCGATGGAGGCAAATAGGGGGCACCGAGTACTTATAGTTGACGTCCGGCCTTGATAGATCGCCCACAGTATTGCTTCGTTCGCAGGTCCAGATCATCTTCCAAGCTCTACACAGCACTCAGTTCCAGTCAGCCTTCCTGTCAATATGCTGTTCACAAAGCAAGCATTAGCTGCTGCGTTGCTGCAGGCACTCGGTGTCGTTGCATTGCCGCTCGACCCAACACCAGTGTACAAGCCCGCAACACCAGCGCGGCAGGCAGCACCGCCAGCGACCTTCACCGCAAACGCAAACATCGGTCCTGGAGGGAGCACGTTCACAGACTCGCCGCACTTCCGAGTCTATGGAGCCACCGGCACCACCGCCACGAACGCGCTGAATATGCTCGAGGCTGCGTACAGCTGCTTCGTCGACACTCTTGCCTGGCGGTCCTCGGGCCTGGCTTACAATGATCCTAACGACGATGGGCCATGGACTAAGGTTAACGTGTACTCGGTATCAACACTTACGGGAGCTGCTGGTGTCATGCATTCCGACTACAACACCGGCATGAGCTGGCTCGAGGTCGTCAACAACTACCTGGCAGTGCCCGGGGTCGCAGTCCATGAGTACGGCCACGGCTTGACTTATCACGAGAAGAACTGGGTCGACCAGGGCAGGACCGGAGCCTGGTGGGAGACCGTCGCCAACTGGGTGGCTGACACTTACAAGACCTCGCCGCTGTGTGCCAGCGCCAGGTCCAAGTACGGCCAGTCCACCAGCGCCACCGAGATCAACCTCAACAAGGTCATCGGCGACTCCTTCCAAGTCCTCGTAGATGGGACCGCCGGGTCCGGGAACTACTACGAGGCCTGGCCCTTCCTCAGCTTCCTGACCTACAACCTGGACAACTTCGCCGGCCTGGGCACGAACACGATCCGCGAGTCCTTCCGCCAGTACAGCAAGGGCAGCAACGAGACGCCCCTGCACACCTTCGCCCGGCTCTCCACGGGCGCGACGATCCAGAAGGTCGTGGGCCGCTACTGGGCCCGCATGGCCTACGTCGACATCGGCCACCCGACGGCCCAGTCCGTCTTCCTCAGCCAGCGCGGGCAGTACAACTACGCCAACCTCGACAGCCAGGGCAGCGGCGTCTACAAGGTCAAGGCAGCCCGCCGGCCCCGGTACATGGGCGCCAACATCGTGCCCCTCAAGAAGTCCGGGGCCGTCACCGTCACGGCCAAGATCACCACCAGCGGGGCGTACACCGCGACACTTGCTGTGCGCAACACCAGCTCTGGCGTCACGCGCTACGTCGACTTTGCCAACGGGTCGGCGTCGACTTCGGTCACCAGCGGTGAGGAGGCCTCCGTTGTAGTTGCTAACACACCTGCTCTTATCCAATACGACCCCTTCAGCATCGGCAGCGATGTCAATGCGGGCTTGGACTACACTCTGATTCTGACTGGTGCTACGGCATAGATTTGAATTGCTGTCTGGATTCCAATTGTCCTTATTCTCAGTGAAGATGCCGCCGTGGGAAGGTCGGAAGAAGTCTGAGACGAAATGATTTCCTTTTTACACGTTTTCTGTATATACTTCCGCGCTTGCAAGACAAGTGCAATGAATATAACCCATTTTCTCATGGAAAGAGAGTGCATAATTTGACATGAACACTAATCTTTGTGCCGTTTAAAAGCTAGCCATATCCGGTCTGCTCCCTATGTGAACCTATCCAGTTGGGGCTTTGTGCTTTAATTAGACATTCGATAAAAGACTCGCCGGTTCACAATCTTCGGGACGGCAAAGTCAAAACATATAGTCGTGAATATAGATAGAATGTTGTCCCATTCGGCTCCGAAAATGTGGAGAGAGCAGCACCCTTACATGGAATTGAATATACGGAGTGCCTCGTTCACCATAACAGCAGATGGCATACGCCGGTCCAGTCACGCCGCCGGGTCAAGCCGGTTCGCGCTCGACCAACGTGTGGTCGCCAGGCACACCTAGGACGCCGTCGCAGGTGGCACGCGTGAGGTACCGAGAGAACGAGTATTTCAAACTCTGGCGAAGTGGGCGTAAAGACGAGTGGCAGGGACCGCAATGGAAGATAGCTCTGGAAGACTTACCGCCCAGGCGCCCCGGCGCCTGGGACCGTCGGATGTCAACACCGTCGGCTGGGGTCGAGAACCGCCGCCAGGCAGCCAAGAACAGCATACGATACTATCCATCCGGGTCAGGGTCGGCGGCACTTTCGTTTATTCAGGAGCCCACCAAAAAGATGTTGTCGACGATTCGGGGCGCGTCGCTCCTCAAGATTCTTGGGTACGGCGGCCAGGGGGTTGCGGCTTTGTTGGAGGTCACCGATCGACAGGGGCCGAGCAAGAAGGCTGTTATGAAGATGTGCACTGAAGACGACGAATGGGCCATAGAAGATCTGAAGACCGAGAAGAAGTGGCAGGTTAGCTTGATGAGAGCAATGCACGCGGTGCAACTGATCAAATGGGCTACACTTAGAGGGACACCACTGGCGCCGGAGGACGTAGAACTTGATAACAATCCAAGGCTCTATTTCATGGAGCTGATGAAGAATGGCGACCTTCACCAAGTCATTGGCCGCGCTGGAAATATCGGTCAGAAGCTGCCTAGCAGATTGTTGTGGAAGATTTTCGCGTGCCGTAGGTCAATAACACCTCGAGTCCATGGACCCGCCGGATGCTGATTGTCTTGCAGTTATTCGGGGCTGCATCGCTATGAAGTATCCACCCAGATTACAAAGTATCGTATCAGGTACAAATGAGAACTGGCTTCCAGAAGTTGGGCCCAACATAAGAGAAGAAGTACCCGCAGGCCTTGGTATGAGAACGGCAAGGGACTACGACTTAGTACATTTTGACCTTGACCCAAAGAACAGTGAGTCCGCGTAACGTTCCCCTTTTAAATTCCCCGGACGTATAAAGTGTATCAAATTCTGACATTGCACTCAGTTTTCATTGGAGATTTCGATGGCGAGGGCCATGGCTACGTCCCCCGATTCAAGGTGAGTTCAATGGAAACAAATAAAGCTACGACCATGGAAATGAGATCGGGATGTGGGTATGCTGAGGGTCATAAATGTAGATTGCAGACCTTGGTCTTGCAGACAGAACCACAGAAGAATTGCTGACAACGTCGTAAGTCACACTCTACATGGACTCCAATTCAGAGACGGCTAAATCAAATGAGGATATTAGAGTACTGATAGACTTCCCAATTCAGGGCAGTTTGGACGTCAAGGCAACGAGGGAAAGCCGACTTTTACGTCCCCGTAAGTGATCCCAACACCGGTATAGGTGCCAACCTGAGCCTGTATCGAGTTTCCTGACAAGGATTCGTATCGATAGGAACAATACCATCAAGAGTGGGAATGGGCTGGAGAATTACCGCGCCAGCAGCAACCCCCACTACAAGTGGCGGCCAATTACGGATCCTGGAGTAACGTGTACCACATTGCAATGGTAAGGCAAAAGGAGACGTTTCACTCAAACAAATCACAAAGTGTTTTGAAATGTGACTGGAGTTAACAGTTTGAAGTGCATGCATATGTTGATTACGCTTCATACCTTCCCATACCCTCCACACACAGTCGGCCCCTTCAACAGCCACGGCCTGCCGCAACAGTACGCAAGCGTAGAGACCGTCCGAGACCACAACGGAGAAGCAGTATCACCATTCCACACAAACGGCGCCGGCCTAGTGGGTGAAGAAGGACTTGATCCGCGGCTGAGAAACCTGCTCATGCGGTGCCTGGCTTTGATCCCTGCCCATCGGCCAGGGTTAATCGAACTAGAAGCATGGGCATCCGATGCGGAGACAAATCCGGGATTTTTCAGTGGCATCGGGGGTAATTTGACGTCGACGGAACTAGCAGACCAGTTCATATGTCGACCAAGAAGCGTGAGTGTCTTTCCAAATCGTCTTGACTTTCCGGCGCTCTGCTAACCGGATGTTGCGCCGCAATAGCCTCCGCCGGCCAAAATACAGGTATCCAAGTCGGGGGACACGTCAATGAAAATGTAAGACCCAACTTGGGCCGCGGCAAAGCGGATCAGGTTAGCAGACTTTTGACTTGGACAACGCAATTTCCCCAGGAAATAAGTAGAAGTAACAGCAAGACACAAAATAATATACTGTAAGACTAATGGAGGACGCATTCTTTCTTTTTTTTTTCCCCGATGGTTGATGTGTAATATTGGTACACCCGAGTAAATAACTGTGGAATCTTTATACGATCGTGTACTTCTAATAGTATGCTAGAATCTCTTTTTCAACGATTTTGAATGGATAGTATGTTTGGGACTCGGTCCTCAGCTTCAACGCGCGCTGCTTGTATTTCGGCTGCGCCCAAACTTCTTCGACCGGCGCCGTGATTGCCTCTGGCGATCGAGACTGATCCGGGAGATAGACACCAAGCCCAGAATACTCCACCCGACGGCCAATGTCAGCCTTGCCAAAGATACTGCCACACTGTACCAGTGGCACCGAGTTCGCTATAGCATAGTCCACTCCGCCGTACCCACTGTTTGAGACAAATATGTCGGCGTGAGCAAGCACGGGGAAATTGAATATCTTGGCTTTGTCTTCAGCACTCTGGCGCTTGGAGCATGTCGCCTGGCCCCGGACATGGCACGTGTGAAACTCGTGTCTGACTCGAGGGTCTACTCCACCACTTGTCCGCATACAGCTTTTATTCCCCGAGAGCCCGAAGCCGAGAGCTCTTTGCTCCAAGCTCCGATATTATCGGACCTTGGACAGATGAGTCCGACTCGGAGGATCCGAGGCTTCTTAAGTCCTCCGAAGCGACTCAGGAGCTCCGAAGCAGTGGAGCTTGTGGCACCAGCGCAGCAGCCCTGGTCTGAATGTTCCAAGTCGTCCTGTAGCAGTGATTAATGGTATCATCACTTGTTGAGTGCCAACCAACCACAGCCTATCACTGAAGTCATTTCTCTCCGAGGAGATCTGAAAAGCTCTGAAACAGCGACCGCTCAGACATCGACAGTTGCTGTAGAGAGTGCATCTTCTGGCCCATCATCTTTGCGCCGTCTTTGCTGCCAGCAATGGGGGGAAACTTGACCCTGTTAGTGACCGATACTTCTATCGAGACAGCAAATGGAGCGAGGGTCTGTAAGCTGCTCTCACAGAAGATATACAGCGGCCTGGCGGGATTCTGTTTGGTGCTACAAAATTGGCCAAGAACGTGCGCCCGAACTTACTTGCGCGTTTTGTATTGTGGGCGGACAACTACCTGGGGATCTTTGACAATTAGGAAGACAGTGCGGCGAGCTTTACCGAGCCGCTGCAATAAGCCTTCCACGATGTCAAGGTTGAGGTGGTTGGCTGTATGCGTGTGTTCGAGGCGAGAGATTCTAAATGACGTGTGGGTAGCACCTGCAAAATGGATATTGAGCTCCATACACCAATTCTGTTCCTTGAAGCCGCATTTGATATTGCGCAAAGCTGAGTGCGTTATCTCCAAGGATCGTCAAGTTGTATTGCTCTCCTGGGTACAACTCCACGTCTAAGTGCTGTTGCCTGTGGAACGAGTTAGCGTACGCCCACCCAGCTTCTACAGTACGCCCACCTAGCTTCCAGCATTGGCCCACCTAGTATAAGGAAATTAGCTGCATGCATTATAAAACATAAGTATACCTTAGGAGCTAGCTTTTTAAAACTATAGCTACCCCGCTATTTATATAAAGCAAACATTTTAAATATTCCACTTTAAATACATACTTATTATATATTAATTAATACTCTTTTAAGTTATTTCTTTATACTTATTAAAGCTAATTATTAAATTAAATTACTTAAAATTATTAATAAAAGTATTATTAAGATAATAAATTATTTAATTTATATAAGGTATAAAAATAAATAAGCTTTATTATTAATATTATTAATAATTATTAAATAAGTAAAAACCTTACTTAGCATTAATAAGTAAACGCTAGTAGGTTAGGTTATATAATATCCTTCTTAATTAAAAGAGGATAGTAAAGATTTATTTATAAAGTAATAAAATTCTTTCCTTAAGGATATTTAAACCCTTAACCTCCCACCCTTCTTTCATTTTTTTCCTCTTCCCTATACCTTTCGCCCTTTATTTTAATCCTATAAATATATAAATTAAATTATATTAATTAATATTAATTACTTAAAGATTAAAAAAGTATAAAATAATAATATAAGCCTTAAGAAAGTAAAGGCTATGGCTATAAAGCTTAAAGGCTAAAAAGCAATATTATGCTTAAGCTATTACTTAAAGAATACTATACTTAATAAGTTAGCTAAGAATTTTAATATAAAACTATTAATACCTTTAAGCTAAGATTATATAAATATTAAAATTAATAACTATAATAATAATATAAGCTATAATAATAATATAAATTATAGCTAAAGTAGCATTATAGCTTTTAATTTACTTAATAAATAGCCCTAAAGAAAGAATAAGTTAGCCGCTTAGCTATTCCTTAAGGCTAATAAATTTAAGCTTATGCCCTCCTTAAAAGCTTTTAAAAAATTAACTAAGATATTAAAATTTAAGAAACTAGCCTAATTAACTAGCGCCTTAAATAATAAATTAATTAAAGGTAATAATATCTTATAATTTAAAGTATTTTATAATAATAATAACTTTTTTATTATTATAGCTTTACTAAGCCTATTTAAATACCCTAAGGTCTTTATTAAAAAAATAAAGGTTAATCTTATTAAAAAAAAGGTTTAATTAATAAAGTATAATTTATCCTTAAACTATAGCTTTTTGCTTATTTATAAAATTAAGAATAAAAATAATAAGGTAATTTACTTAACTTAATAAGATTTAAGAATAATATTATAAAATTTATTAAACTTAAGCCTTAAATACCCTTAAATATAAATATTATATAAAACTAAAAATAAGTTAAAAAGCAATATTATTAAGTTATGCTTTTTTACTTTTTAATAATTATTAAAATAAATGCTATAAAACTTAATAAAATTCTTAACCTTAAGATTATAAAGTATATTTATAAGCATTAAATAATAATAAATAAAGTAAAGTAAAAATAATGCTTAGCTAATTTAATTTCTAAGTTAGTATTAATTAATATAAATTTAAAACTATTAAATAAGATAACTTTAGGTTTCCCTTATTAATATTTATTATTATTTATTTAACTTTATATTAAATAATTAGCATTAATTAATATAACTTTTATTATAATAATTTATATTAATTAATATTAACTTTTATTTTAACCTTTTTCTTTTTCCTTAAAGATTTATATAAATTATTATGCTTATATATTTATATTAATTAATGCTAACTTATTAATCTTCCTTAATATTTATTATATAAGCTAATAATATTATAGTATTTACTTTTTTTAATATTATTACTTAAGCTAAGAAATTAAGCTTTTAAGGTTATTTATTTATTTAGCTTAATATTAGCAAGTAATTTAATAAGCTTATAAAGAGTTTTAATTAACTATAACAACGCGCTATCTTTTAGCTTATTATTAATAACCCCTTGCAGCTTATCTTAATTATTTAAAATAATAACCTAAGTATAATATCTTAGCTAAAGAGCATTAATATTAATATAATCATTAACTTTATAATTTTACAATACCTTATATATTGCTCCATTAATATTAAACTAAGCGCTATTAAAACTAAGCGATATAAGTAATATAAACTTAATAAGAAATACTTATATAAGTTTTTATATAATGATTTATTTTATGGGGTTACTTATTATAATAATTATATTATATAGTAATTTATATTTATTAAAAAAAAAAAAAAAAGGTAAGTAATTTATTTTTATTAAAAATCTTACTTAATAGGAAAATAATTATTTATAAGTTTATTTATATTAAGGCTTAGCATTATAATAAATATCTTATTAATAATATAAATAATATAATGAAAGTTATTCTTATTAATAAGGCTTAAAAGGCAACCATAATTATAATAATATAAATATATATCTTATAAAAATAATATATAAAAGCTAAAGCAAAGTTATATTTAAAAAAGAGTTTTGCTAAAAATAAAACTAAAAATAAATAGGTTAATATAAATTAAGTTTTTATAAATTTATATAAATATATAAACTTCCTTGCTTATATTAATATATATAATACTCTTAGCTAAGAATTTAACGTTAATTATAAAATAACTTATTATAAAAATATTATAAATATTATAAATTACTTCCCTTTTATTAATTATTAAATTATTATAACTTTTATTAAAAAGATTTATATAAAAGGTTTGCTTATATAATTAAGGATTACTTTTATTTAAGATAAAAATATTCTTAAGAAGTTTAAAGCAATGCTTTTAAGTTATAATAGCATTTAGCAATATATAGCTATAAAAAAGTAAGAAGGTAAGGTATTATAATAAATAATTAATAAAGGTACCTTACTTATAAATAGCTAAGTAAATAAATAATATTATAAGGATTTTAAGCAATGCTATGCTTTATTTACGCTTATATTAAGTTAACTCCTTATAGCTATTAACTTTATTAAGGCCTTAAAATTTTTAAAATAATATAAGCTAAATATTAAAGGTAATATAAAGTATATTAATTTATGCATTAATTAATATAATAATGCTAATAATAACTTAGTTAACCCATATAATATTAATTTCATGGCAGCTTAAGTTATTAATAAGTTAAATAAGTTAAGTTAGCATTAATTAATGCAAAGCTATGCCCTTACTTTATACTAATTAATGCTAACTTAACTTATAAACCCCTTATTTATATATTAATTAATAAGGATTTTATAAATATTATCATTATATACTAAATAATAAATAGCCCACTAAGAAGTATTCTCCTTGTTAATAAGGTAAGTATAAATAAGATATTAATTATACTCTTAAAGCAATATTTTTATCTTTTAAAGCATAAGGTTAAGCTTAAGGTAGCTAGCTTATTTATATTTAATAACGTTATTAAAAAGGGCTTTAATAAAATATAGCCTATTATAATATAAGCACCTATTAATATTATTAAATAATACTTTAATAAAATTTATAAATACTTTCTAATTAATACTTTTAATATAAAAATCTTTTATAAATTAAAAAGTAATACTAGCTATAAACTTGCCTTGCAAATAATTATAATAATAATTAAGAAGCTTTTTATTTAAATAAAAGTAGCCATAAAGCATAATAACTTATTTTAAATATATATTTTCTTATAAATTAATATTAATTAATGCTAACTTATAGCCTATTCCTATATTAATTAATGCTAACTTATATATATATAATTAATTAACTATATAAAATATAATAAAAATTTAAATATTCTTATATTTCATAATTATCTTTTACTTAATAAAGAAGACTTTTGCCATTACATTTATTATAAATATAAGCAATTAATTATATCAATAAAGTTTATAAAAGTATAATATATATAATAATATACCTATAATAAATAAAAAGCAAATTAATATTTTTTACTTAATAATTATTAATACTTACTTTAAAAACTAAGCTATAAGGAAGGCTATAATAAAGAAGTATTTAGCCTTAAAAAATATAAAAGGTTTTAATAATACCACTTATAATAATAAAAAAAATAACTTAAACTATATTTTTAATATTATAGCTAAGGCTAAAGCTATAAACTATAAAGAGTTTAATGCTAATGCTAATAT